GTATTTAAATACCCATTTAGCAGTTTTGAGGGACACTCTTATATAAACAATATATATTTATGTAATATTTTACAAAGTAAGTAAAATTTAAGAGTAGATAAAATGTTTGATTAAAAAGTATACTAGCTCACTATGTAACTTGAAATTTAATAATTATCCATCATCAGATTTATGATTTTGTTGATATTATTTAATGATTATAACAATCTAGGAATTGATCAACATTATTCTCCTTTCTTTTAAGGCTTGTTAACTTAAATATCACTAAATATTTCTGATTTAAAAAATTTTTCAGTTTGGATTTAGATATATGTTTTGCATTACATGGGTACTGTTTATATATAATGCTGTGTACTTTCAATTTTACAAACCCATAAGGACTGCAAACTGATTTCTATAAAATATTGGAAGTTTATAATTGAGAAAATGCCATTAAAAAGGCCTTAAAATCTTTGATATAAATGTCTCATAGTTTATAAAAATTATATAGTTTATAAATTAAATCTCTACATAAGTACGCTTGCAAAGTAGTTGCTGCTGTTTTTTTTTTTTTTTTTTTTTTTTTTTTTTTTTTTTTTTTTTTTTCCCCGCCAGTATAAATTTGCACTGCGCTAGGGCCATAAACATAAGTTCACTCATGTTCAGCTTTTTCATCTATGATATCAGCAAACAGTCAAAAGCTGACTGACTTAGTATCATGGGGGGGGGACGTCGCGGCGCGCAACGGATTGGAAGTTGATCTGTCAGCACTATCCTTATCTTCAGTTCAGATGTTTTTATTTAATTTGGCTTATAATTTCTTACTAAATGTAGCATTTCATCATGATGTACTCCATCTTTGATATACTTTAAATCAAATTCCACTTCATTATAATTCGCTTACGATAGTGAAGAAAGTGACAGAGAGGTTTTTGAAAACGGAAAAATTTCGATTGACAAAAAACAAAATTTCGATTGACAAATTAGTTGGTATTCTTGACACAGCAATTATAGGACTTGAACAGCGGAACTTTGTAACTGAACAAGAAATTATGTCTGTTTATAGAATTAAAGAGAAAGTATTATCACATAAACCGAAGCAACTTAACCAACTTACATTGAAAGAAATGTTTAATAAAGTAAACAAATAAATATTAAGCTTTTTTTTTTTTTTTTTTTTTTTTTTTTTGTAAATTTTGATACCCTTTAGATCATAGTTGTTCTTTATTTCATAAATTACAGTTTCATATTTTTAATTTTATAATTTCTGCATGCCATCTTACCTGATTTAAACTGATGATCTATAATCCGGAAAAATCGATAATCAGGAATCGCCGAAGTCCCGACGAGTCCGAATTAAAGACTTTTGACTTTAGTTATTTGGGGAGAAAATATAAATATTAGATTTTTACATTAGAAAGTTTGCTTCAGTTTATTTACTATTTCTCATATTATTAATATTATATTGGCTGGCAATTTTATTGGCTATGTGGCTTTCTAAAATGTGTAAAGTCTTCAATTTATCATCTGTATAAATTGGCAAATTTCTATTCCTGAGAGATACTGCAATTCAGTTAAGCATAAGTTATTTTCTTTTAAAGTGGTACATATTTTATCAGGCAATTTAAAGAAGTGCACATATTTCTTAAGTTGTTCCAAAAGTTAATCAGGGAGAGGAAAATGCTAATTTCCGGAAGCCAATCAGAATTGAAGAGGATGCAATTCGCTGCATAGGTAGATGGAAGTATGCAAATATGTTAGGTAACAGCCAATCGTGCTTTCATGTCAAGAAATATGCAAAAAAGGCAGTCTTATGAGAAGCCAGCTTTATGAAGGATTACAGAAGTTGATTGTAAGTGCTGATAGAAGGTGTTTAAAACTTTTGTACAATTTATTTTCAAGACATGCGTGTTTCTAATGAGTTCCAGAAGACAAATGGAAGCAAACAGCGTGTGAGCTGTTCTGAGCGCTGGCGTGCTGTGGGGCACACCGAAGCAGGACAGTCGATCACATATGTTGCTCTTTTCTTCGGTGTTCATCATTCTGTAATTTCACGTTTATGGAAACAATCCCAAACCACACAAACAGTTATCCGAAGCCCGTAGCCGGTCGCCCAAGGGTTACAACCCCCGCTGAAGATCGATATATTGCTATTGTAGCCAAGCGGAATCGCAGAGCAACCTCCACACGTGTGACATCTATGGTTACAGTGTTGATTTGTAAGCCGATATCTGCAGCTAATGTATGCTGAAGATTACATATAAGTGGACTGTATGCCCGGGTACCTCGATTTTGTGTTCCTCTATTTGTTCAATCAAGAAAGGCATGATTATAATGGTGCCAGGAACATGTTAATTGGAATGTGTCTAACTAGGGCAATGTCATGTTTACTGATGAGTAAAGATTTTCTCTGGAGCCAGATGACAAGCGTATAAGGATATGGCATGAACATCGAACACGCAATCAATCCCAAAACATCACACATTCCGAGGCGGAAGCATTATGGTGTGGGCGGGGATTTCATTAGGATACCGCACCGACCTGTACATCTTTGAACAGGTTTCTTTGACGGCTGTCCGATATTGAGATGAAGTCCTAGAACCCATTGTGAGATTTCACACTGCAGCAGTTGGCCCTACTTTTGTTTTAATGGACGATAACGCACGTCCCCATAGAGCTGACATCGGCTATGACTACCTTGAGAGTGAAGGGATTGTGCGTATGGCATGGCCAGCATATTCACCCGTCCTTAATCCCATTGAAAATATTTGGGATGCTCTCGGCCGTGCTGTATCTTCACGTTTAACACCTCCAGCCACTCTTATTGAGCAGGAAACTGCTCTACAAGAAGAATGGCAATTGCTTAATTCTGCGGTGGTTGACCACCTAATTGAAAGCATGGTCACAAGGTGTAAACTTTGTATACAGATGAGGGGGGATCACATACCCTATTAATGTCCTTTTTTTTCATTTTATGCTGTTTATTTTCACTTTATACATAATTCTGTATAAGTCTCCAGTATGTCATTATCCGATAACTTAAAAAAATTTAATAGAGTACAGAGTCTTTAATCCAGATGTTCGTAATCCAGAATGATCTTTAATCCGGACCTCAAAGCTACAAACTTTTTGCGCATGCGTAAACGATGCAATAATACATTTATGCATATGTATATCAATTTACACATGCGCATAATACATTTACGCATGCGCATTTAATGTATAACGGATGGTATAAGCTAGGCTAAAATTATCTATTTTAGTTGATGTTGCAGATTGCATTGTTTCATAATCTTCTAATTGGATCTGGCTTATTATTTTTTGCAGACTATTAGAGCAATTTTATAAAAAGTAAGCTTGAACTTTCGATTATGTCAAAAAGAGTTTCCAATTCTGGAGCTGCCAAAGGATCTACAAAGCAAAAGCATGTTTCAATGCATCGCTTCTGATAGTGAAGAAAGTCACAGAGAGGTTATTGAAAATGAAAAAATTTCGATTAACAAGTTAGTCGGTATTCTTGACACAGCAATTACGGGACTTGAACAGTGGAACTGAACGAGAAATTATGTCTGTTTATAGAATTAAAGAGAAAGTATTAGCACAAAAAACGAAGCAACCTAAACAACTTGCATTGAAGGAAATGTTTAATAAAGTAAACAATTATTAAGCTTTTTTTTTTTTTTTTTTTTTTTTTTTTTTTTTTTTTTTTGTAAATTTTAAGACCCTTTAGATCATAATTGCTCTTTATTTCATAAATTATGGTTTCAGGTTTTTAATTTTATAATTTCTGCATGCCATCTTACCAGATTTAAATTGATGATCTATAATCCGGAATCGCCGAAGTCCCAATGAGTCCAGATTAACAACTTTTGGCTGTATTGTTTTCATTTCTGTATGTAATTATTGATTTTGTTTTATGCATAAATATATATGCTAATTTCCTGCCGAATTTTGTGTCGATCAAAGCAGTATTTGTTGATTTTTTTGCATTTTACATCTTTGTGCTTAACTTTTGGAAGTAAGTGTATATCTAATTCATGTAATTTATAAAATATATGATTTTTACAAACATTTGCACCTTTATTGTAATCAATGAAAAATGTGTCTTATGCCATATGTTTCTTACCTTGATATCAAACAAACTATTTGCATGCTCACTATGAGCTATTTTGTAATTTGTGTGCAAGAAGCATTTCCATTTATTTCCTTTCCAAACTTAAGAAAAACTTCTTAAGGTCTTGGAAAATTTGCTCAACTGTTTTCTAAAAACACTGAAAAGAATTTTTTAATGTGATTGCAATTATGGTTACCAACTGTTCCAAATTATCATTATGTAAAAGTTGTAATATTTGATTATCAGTAGCAGTATGTAGTAGTTATGAATAGCAGTGTGAACATTTTTGGTAGTCGCACTGTTCTAAGATGACCATCTCAACTGATGACTAAAGTCATCAGGAATTGTGATTGACTATCTTGTAAAAGTTTCAGTATAGTTTAATTTTGAATAATATAGTTTCAATATAGTTTTTATAGGAACAATTTGTGGTGCCAGTGTAAGTTTTTTTTTAATCAAAACCTCTTATTTATATTATTATTAAATGTACGTGTTTGCTCTTAGTAACAGAATTCAATGCAGTAAATAATTGAAATTATTATTATTATTATTTTTTTTTTTTTTTGATTTTCACTAAATGAAAGATATTAAATACGTAATAACTGTTCTAATTTAGAATCAATCAATAATCAAATAGGAAACAAAATTTGTATAAATTAATTTTATGTAACATTTTGTTGAAAGCATACTTACTGGATGAAGCAAATTTTTTATTATAAATGGAATAATAACATAAAGTATTTTAAAATTTGATATGTATTTAGTTCAAATAGACTCATAAAATTTATATTATTAATAATATGAATACATTTGTAGTCATTTTTTAAGCAGTAAATTAAGACCCAACACATTTTTAAGCTAATAGATACATATTTTTTTTTCAAATAATTTGAAACATTTTTGATAGTTCTAGCTACTTTGGAGCACATGATGAAGAAACCACTCACTCCTGTTGAAGAAGATCTTAGTCCAGTTACACCATTACCAATAACGCAACAAAGATACAATTTTCTCACCTGAAGTGCTTTTGTATGCCCTAGGTAAAAAAAAACCTAGTCTTGCCATTTTTGCTCTAATCCCAGTGATTTTTTTTTTTAATTATTATTATTGTTTTTGTTTTTCTGTAGAAGACATTGAGCTTTATTCAGAAAATGATTCTTGCAATAAATGATGATTACATATAGCTGAAAAATTGTTTATGTAATAGTTATATATTTTTTATTATGGTGGCAATAAGAACTTATTATAATGGTTTGATAGAAACATATCTTTTTCATGATGTCTTTGTGTTTAATTTGTATCTGAAGGGTTTTTCTGCTTTTTCATCATCAATATTTTTCCATTTTTGGGAAAATCTTAACTGTTTTTATTATTTTTTTAATTATATAATTATTTGCTGTAGATGCTTTTTCTGTTTTTGGCAGCTTTCCCCCCCCTTCCAAATGTGTTATACTTTTGTAGAATTTGATTTGCCATATTTTTCTTACATTGCAAATAATGTATGATGTTTTTCTATATATGTTTTTTAAAAGATATTCCTGTTTGCAATATGAATGTTTTCCTGAAAATTAGCTTTTTGGGAAGGTTTTTAAGGCTATATGATAGTACAAATTACTTATTATTTCATTAAACTGTATTATTATCTTTGATAGTCATTCCTCAACTATTCTGTAAATGTATTATGTATTTTCTAGTATTTCATATCTTAAATATTGAAAAGATTCTTGCAGAGACTGTGCAGACTGTTGGTATTTGAAGTTTGATTTGAACATTATCAATTTTAATTCCTTTACAATGGAAGGTTGCTATATTTTTGTATTTACATGTTGATATACAGATGATGTTGAAGTGTTAAATTGTACTTATAATAATAATCAAAAGTGTTAGGTTTTTAGAGAAATCTTCCTATGTTATTTGTTGATAAAGTTATGAGCATTATGTGAAGTTTGAAGAATAATGTGTACTTATACTGTAAGGTGTTTGTTTAATCCCTGAGATAAAAATGTATGAAACTTTTAATAGAATTTACTTGCAAATAGTGAAAATTTGAAATGGCATACTTTTTTTATTGTTTATATTTTAATCAAACACAAAATTGCAGGAAATATTGTATTTTCATTATATCCTTTACTCTGAAACATTGTGAATAGAAATAACTTTCAAGGAAAAAAACTTGTCTACACTTCATATGGTATAAAGTGAATTGCTAGATAGTGGTACTTCCAAGTTTTATCACTTCCATGAAGTTTTTCTATGGTACTATAATTTTAAGGTATAAAATCACTGTTATTCTGAAGATGGATTCTTTAACTTATAACTTGAAATCTTAGGATATGTCATCTTTACATCATTCCAGTTTTTCTTCAGCTTAATTTAGAAACCTATAAATTATGCTTTCTTAGACTGCTACACAGAGTATTTGCCTTGTTCTGTAGATTTATTTTCAACAAATAAGGAACCTAATAGGCTGTTCAGACACGTAGAAGCTAGTCATGTATTGATGCAACTCATTGTTCCACTATTCTAGAATGAAAATGGGTGGATATGATTATTTTATGGTAATTAAAATGCAAGTATCTTTTTTTCTTATCATTTTTATATACATTATTTTTTGTCCCATTCATAAATATCTTTTTACAAATCTCTTTTATACTTGTTAAGCTTTTAGCCTTTATTTGTGTCAGTTCGTATAATATTTCCTTTTAAATATATAATATGAAAGCTATGAGAAGCAGTAACCAACTACATTTACTATTGCACAATTATATTTTGCTATTGAACGTGCTGTTTTCTGCTTCTACATTATGTGCCAATGTAATTTAAGAATTGGGATAAATAAATTTTTTTTTAAAAGAATTCTACTTTTTTTTGTTAACAAGTATATTAATTTCACAAATATATATATATATATATATATATATATATATATATCATTACTTCAAACAGGTGACATTTATTTTTTACTTTTTGTAATAAATATTTGTGATTAAAAGTTTCTTTTAATACTTTTTAGAATATAGTGCTTTAAACTAATTTTTTAATAAATATTTTGTATACTTTAAATCAGGGGTGGATTAAGCTTGGTAGACTGGTTTTGTCATAAAATTTAGACATGTTTTATTGAAGTTTGTGCAATTCTGCAAACTGTTGAGTACTATGGTTTCTTAAATTATCATACATTCCAGTATACTTGAAGTATTTCCTATGTCTGTATTATACTTGTTATGGAAGAAGAGTGGCATTATCTAGTTCTTCCATTTAAATATTACCAAACAATTTATGACCATACCATATATGTTTGAGTTCAAAAGTGTTTCATACTATTATGTATGTTTCATTCCTCTTGTCACGATTATATTGAATTACTTCTATATTATTCGAAATGAAATAAAATTTAACCTTGCAGTTGGTTTTATAGAAAACTTTAGGAATTTTAAGGAAGAAAGATGGATTCTTCAAGAGGAAAAAAATATTCTGTTTAAATTATCAATATATATTTTGATGAAATATTTTTTATCAGTCTTCTCTGCAAGTGTATTTTCATGTGAAATCAGTGTTAGTCTTTGATTGAATTTTGTATGATTTTAAATGGTAATTCATGTGCTTTTTCCCATTAATTCTTATTAGCCGCAACTCTTTTAATGTTATGTTAAATTGAATTTTTATATAAAAATCATCATATAGTAATGATGTCTAAAAATTAATTCAGATGAAACCTACCTGTCAGAAAAGTGCATACTATTGATTTATTACGATTCAATCATCATTAAACATTTAGCATATATAAATAAATGTATTGGTGAAGTTAGAGGAAATAATCCATGAGCTTGTCTAGCAGAAATTGAATAGCTTTTATTAAAAAGTGTAAAGCTTGCTGTGATTGTGATAATTATTATTATAATTACCGTAATTATTAGGGATTTAACATAAATTTGACCTCTCACTAAAAAGAAGAAAAAGGGATATTCTGGAGGATTAATTCATACTAACTGTTAAGTACAATTTAAAAAAAAAAAGAACTCATTTTTATAATATAAGGGAGAAAAATCTTATTATGTATATTTTTATTGTAGTGAATATATATATATGTGATGTATCAGCTTTAGTCGTAGCTTAGTCGTAGCTTAAATAATCAGATGATAAGTTTTAAAAAACAGGATCCATTTATTATTATTCATGAGAAATAGCAGTTACAAAAATCAGATATCCAGAGTAAATAAAAAGAATTACTAATAACTTTTTGTATGTTGTTTACTGCATCGTGACATTTAAGAAAAAGCCCCAATATTCCTTTTGCGAGTCATTTTATAGCCTCTGGAAAGGCGGAGCTTCCAAGAAATGACGTCAGCCATTCCAGTTCGCTTTAAGTATCTCCAGAACATTCTAAAAAAAGTACGTGTAGAAAAGGTGGGAAAAACAACTTGACTATGGGGCTGGGATTAATTTCACGTACTTTTCAAATAAGAGAACGTCGCCATTAAAAATGAAAAAGAACATACAGTTAGAATTTAAGTGTTTCTTGACTATGGAATTTTATTATTACATATATATATATTTTTTAATTTGAGTTAATTGAATTTTTAACTTCAGTTTTGACACTGAATCTTCCTTTGTAAGAATTAACTCCTTTTATTGGAGAATATCTCATTTAGGATGACTAATAACTATTCCATATGGAAATTTGAAGTATAAATTAATTCAAAGACATATTAATAAAAGGTTGAATATTAAGGTAAGAAAAAAAATATTAGTTTTTTAAATGTCCTGAATATTTATTTTAAATCTCTTAAAAAAAGTTGCTTTTTTAAATATTCAGAATTTGATTTTAGATCTGTGCTCATAAAGAAAGATACGAGTCCAATAATTGGCTATTCATATCTTTATTAGGAAATTGTAATGTTCCTATAAGTATTTTCTTTAAGATGTCACGGGAACGCAAATAATTGTCTTACCTGTGGGCTGAATTGTTCTGTAAAGCCAACTGCTGTTTTTAAACTCTGATCAATTTATTGGAAACTGGTCTCCAGTGTTAAATAAATAATTTTGTTTAAGGATTTAGTTATGTCAGCTACTTAAGTGTTTCAGTTAATATTCGATTGTTTAACTTGTTAGATTGTGCTGTTGTATATGCACTCAATCAAACTGTTACGGTTATGTGAATTTAAATGATAGAATATATTTTTAATATAAAATGATACATGTATGAGAGATATATGTCAAAAGTATGTAATTCTCTATATTTGGACAGCAATGGTTACATTTTTTTAATATATGTATAATATTGTGCTTTATCAAAATATAGTTTTAAAAGAATTCATTGTAATATAATTGAAGTACTAATGGCCATACCAGAATTATTTTTCTAAGTTTATATTTGGAAAGAAGAAATAATAGATATGATTTGTCTTGAGGAAAAATAGATGTGAATATTGTATGTATGAAATTATGAGAAATTTGTAATTCAAGATAGATTTATAACTTTGCTAAATGTGTAAGAGATATTTTTGAGGGTCTCTATATAGTCATGCTCAAAATATGTATGGATAATTTTTGCATTATTTTATGGGTCAAGCATGTGAAATTAATTTAGCCTCCTATTCTGAAAACAGGCTGCTGAGCTACCTTAAAAATTAGTAATAACCAATACAGTATCTTCAGTTGAGGTATAGATCAATCAATTTCTTCAAGAATTTAAAAAAATAATAATAAAGTAAAATGATATAATGTATGTAAGTAAGTGTTTCTGTTTCTCCTTTATCATATTCATCTTTCAAAATGCATATGAATAAAGTGACTGAAGTTTGTCATCCGTTTGTAATGCTACTTTAGAAATTAAAATGGTGTGGCACTAAAATTTAAAATGCATCATTTTAATTAGGAGTTTGTTGATTGAGGTTTCTAAATGAAAGTGCAACTATTTAAATTATATTTTAAAAACTACTTTATGGATTGCATGAATTATTATTTTTAATATTACAGCCCCCAGCAACTTACACATAATGTTTTTAATGTAATGAATATTTTTATCTCTTTTTCCTATCACAAGTTGAAAATTAAAGTTTAACTGCTGTTACAGAAATACTTTTATAATCACATTTTTTTAAAGTTTAAAAGTTATTTCAGTTTTTTGAAAGGGGGTGTAAAAGTTATAAGTCTCATTACTGATTTCAGAATCAAATATTTGGAATTATACGAGGAGCTGTATATTTATAATATACAAACATTTTCATAGATATTGTTTCATGTAGAAATGATTTTATAAAAATGTAAAAAGCGAAATAACTTTAGTAGTATTACATTTCTTTAAGACAAGCACTAAATTTTTATTGTAACTAAAGAATTATAAAATTGTCTTGGGTGTATGTTTGATGATATTCTAGTACAAACATATTGAAAGTTAATAATCATCCCAAGCAGTTGCCATCTGAAAATACACATATATATAAATTTATAATACTTAATTTATGTACTAAAAATTATGCATGTATATTTTTAGTTATATTCATCTATATTCTTGTGCAGTGGCTCCAAAGTAAATTTATATTTATGTATTTAAAATGGTGTTTAAAGTGGTGAGATTTTCCAGCAGATGACATTTCTCCTTTATTAAAACTTAATTTACCAAATCAGTTTCTTCTACCATATTGGGTTTGCATACATATAAAATTTCTTAAGATACATAGAAAATTTAAATTTTCTTGATTTTTCAAATTTTGTACTTAACTTTTACTTGAAATTTCTCTTAGGTCTAAGTTTGTAAAAAATAGCAATGTACATGAAGCTGTAAAATTGCTCATTAGGTTAGAGTATTTTTAGAGAAAATATCCTTTTCTTGTCAAAAGCGAATTAGTAAAATATGCAAAAAAAGCTTTACTTGCTATTAAACAAAGTAATTGCTAAATATGTGGTATGCATTTCATGCAATCGTATAATGAGTGATTTCATTCTGCTGTTATAATGATGATTAATTGCCTACTTATTTTATGAAATACATTAATAGAATGCATGCTATATAATATTTTATCAATTTATCAAAATGTTGTATTTTAAAGCATCAAATTGTTAATACATACTATGGTTAACTATGCAATACAAGTGCTTTAAATAGAAAAAGTTTTATTTAAAATTGTAACATGTTTTAATTATTAAAGCAGTATTTAATTTTTAATTTATTAAAATTGCATTTTTAACTTTCATTTTATTTTCAAATGCATTTTTAAAAATGTGGTTCATTTAAATAATAGCCTGTAATCATATTTTAATGTTTGAAATTAATTTTTTTCAGACATTCCCAATTATTCTTTTTCATCAGCAGTGTACCTTACTAATGTCTAATAGCCAAGTATATATATGTTATCATTTGAGTGTAAACATTTGTATGGTAATAACTGTTTAGCAAACATTTCATAGCCGAATAAGAAAGTTGGAAAATGGGTGTAAATTAAGTTTGTAATAAATACTTAAAAAAGTTAAGTTATTAAATGTATATCAAACACTAACCATATACATAGATGTGCTTGTAATTTAATTATGCATATTTTCCATTTTAATTTGCTCTTTGCACCTTTAAAGCTACCCGTTTTGGGGGGATAGGGGTATCATTTCTGTTGTACTTTGTTTTACAGAAAAAGAGTGATTGGGAATCTGATAATTCTTAAAACAGCTTTGCTTATTAATGCCAGTCTTGAAATTGTAAGTACAAAAATTTTGTAGTGATATGTTTCATGAGTATGAGGTGTTAAAATATCTGTTATCTTACCAGTATTATACATGCCTCTTGTTTTATGTGTAAAATAATTCCTGTTAGTTGGATATTGTTATATTTTGGAAACTTGTTAAAATTTCCTTTTAAAAGAAAGTTATGTCTTTTGTCCTCTTTCATTATATTTAAGCACAACAACAAACATAACAAATCTATGTGTAAAAATGTAATGAATCAAAAGGATTTTCAAATGAATACCTAACTTAACTGTTCAGTTAGTGTTTTCCAAATACAGGGAAGCCAAATATAAATGCCATGTTTGTCATAATTGTTATCAGTTATTGAAATAATAATTACAGAATTTAGAAACTCTTAAGAGTTTTCTCTGTGATATCAAAAAATCATTTTGCATTAGAAGCAATTAAAATTCATCTTAAAATGAAGACATTTCATATTTTATATTTTCACAGAAAATTTAACTTTGTTTGTCACTTTTACAGTGTCTGAGTAGATAATGTCCTAATTACTCAATATCTCACTCAAGGAAAATAATTTTGTACACTTTAAAACATATGAAGTTTGACATGAAAATTAGCATAAAATAAAAGTTTATCACTGACTGCAGTATTATTGAAGTTGAATGCAACTTTTACAATAATGTGGCTGTTATGATGAATGCAGAAGTTGTACTTCCTTCACACAAGAAGTTGAAGATAATTGGTTGAAAGAAAATAGGTAGGTTTTCTTTCAACCATTTTCATGCCTTTGACAGAGTAGAAGTTAAATTAAGACATGATTATGCATGAAAATTTTAGAAGTTTCTATGTAACTCTGAATTTATACTATAGGCGGTGATAAAATTTTCTTCCCCCTCCCTTTTTGGGCTTATTTTTAGGATGGATATTTTTGTGTGTGTACTAATTATACTATGTTCAGTTCCTGATAAAATACACAAAATCAAGGAATGAAAGTATTTTTTTAAAGCATCAATAATTGATCAGAAACATGGCATAAATATGAAATATTATATGCCCCTTTTTTTACCCTTCATCATTTCTAAATTAAGGTTGTTTTCAGTATTTTGTTGTTAAAATGGCCATCTCAAGCCTTTGACAACCTTTTTAAAATTAAATATTGAGTTATTAAATCAGAGTTTGGTGACTAAACTGCTATAACAAGGAAGTGCTGTCTTTATATATATATATATATTTTAATCTTCACTTAAATTATCAACCAGCATCATAACTCACTAAAATCTGTTCTCTTTGCTTGCTTTTTCTTGAGAGGTCTTTATTCATTATAGATATGAAGCTAAGCATTTTTTTTAAGTTTATTTTTGTAATATTTTTTCCCAGTGCACAATATGTATTCAGTAAAAGAAAACTACTTTCCATATTAAAATAAAAAAACATTTTCCATGTTAAGCTATTCTATATTCTAGGATGAAATGTTAAAAGTTTTTGTTTTTATAATCAACCTCTGAAATAGTTTGGCTTAATTGAAATGGCGTTTCTATAAAACTATTAATGTAAAAATTGCATGGTGGCAGAAATTTATTCAGCTTGGCTCTGTTGGGATAGATTGATTTTAAATTAAAATTTTAATCTAGTAACTCTATTCTCAAACCATACTGAAATAAAACAAGAAAGAAGTTTACATATTTTAACCCTGGAATATGCTTCATTAGAAAACAAGTTTAACAAAATATGGCTGCCATTAATAAAGTATTTATTTGTTCAGTAGGCATATATTTTATATACATTAAAACACCTTAATCAGTAACATTTCCAGAAAAAATGACTATTAAATGTAAAAATGTTATTTCATAGAAATTAAGACATAGAAAAGTCTCAGTACCTATTTTCTGAATACATGACGATATAATAAAGGTAAAAATAACTTGGAAACAAAAGTCATTGGAAAAAGAAAAATACATTAATAATAGTTTAAAATCTTAAGTGTCAAAGGCCTTAAACAGTGTCCTTTTTAATTCACATATATAATCTATTTCATACAAAATCTTTGGCAGAGATTTTTTTTTACATCTGATTTACATTAATTATATAATTAGAAATGATCGACTAAAACTGACACATAATCATTTTCAACTCGACTGGATGTCATGCCGTCTCTATTATCCAATGATACATTTTGCCATTCAGCTGGTTCACCTGAAATGACAAGAAAACTTTGCTATTAACCATTGTAACGAACATTTTAAAGAAATCTCGCCATTTTGATCAAACAACCAACTTTACTAGTCAAACTTACAGAGAAAATTTAAAAGCATTTTAAGCGTGTGCGCAGAGCTTAAATTGCACTGGAGACCACCAGAACCGTAAATAAGGCTCTGGCACCTTTTTAATGCAATGGAACAATTATTACAGTAGAAACTTGACCTAGCAAATTTTATTTTTAGCAATAAAATTATACACTGGTTATTATAAATTAAGGAAAAATCGCATAAATCACGATTACTGAAAAAAGTTACATGTAGAATTTAATGAAACTTACCCACAATATACAACACATAGTAAGGTAACAAATAACATAAAAAGAAATTACCAGACAAATATGGTAATTAGCACATGTATAAAATGAACAAATCAAAGGTGTCAGTTTGCTATAGGAAATCGGGGATCGAGCTGGCCACTCCATGCGCATAATTGTTTCCTGTTGAAGATAATCATCTACAAGCGAGCCTTTGTGGTCTTGCGTTGTGGTCCTGTAACAGAAAAGCATCACATTGCTTCGGCATATGGGCGCACATATACATCAAGGATGTCATCTATATAAATCTTAGCATTCATGGTTCCCCTTGGAAAGACATGGAGGTCTGTGCGTCCACCCAAAGAGATGCCACCCCAAACAAAGACACTGCCCTTTCCGTATGCATCTCTTTCACGAATGTTTGACAGATGATAACAGGTTCTAGGTTCTCTCCATATCAAATAACACCTACTATCGCTTTCTAGACTAAAACTGGACTCATCCTAAAAAGAACTGCCCTCTACTGATCAGGCGTCCAGTTGACATGTTGTCATGCCCACTGAAAACGGTCCCTCCTATGGCGTGATGTGAGCGGCACACGAATGGCTGGTCGCCTCGCATACAGACCACCTTCGTGAAGCCTTCTACGCACAATTGACATTGACACGAACCTTCCGGTCTAAGAAGAGTTGGAGTAGCGGTTCTATTCTTGCATGCACATAATGTCAAATATCGGTCATCGCCGCTCGTCGTAGCAGTTGGCCGTCCTTTGCTGAACCTCCTAGATGCCTAATCTGTGGTTTGAAATTGCCTCCAAAGTCTATGAACCACAGAAGGATTCACATTTAGCCATCTGGCCACTTCTGTTTGACTTTGTCCTGCCTCTAGTCTCCCAATGGCTCTCCATCGCAATTCTGCAGGCAAATGATGCATGGAGGTCAGTGTTACGAATGGGCTATCTCAGATTTCTGATGTCACTGTCACAGTGAAATACGTGGGCTTGCTCTCAAACATGGACTTTTATGCTCCTCGCAGATGACGTATTCTGAAAGCAGCGCCACTAATTTACATATCGCAGTTTTATTCAGCTATTCTTACTTAGCAACATATTCAAATTTTACACGGTCTGACTCATTTTTGAACGAGTTATCGCTAATTTTGTGATTTTTCCTTAATTTATGATAACCAGTGTTATAAAAATTGCTTATTAAATTTTAATTGATCTCTTTACATTTTATTTAATTTTAATGATTTTAATTACTTTGATTTTTAATTTTTTAAATAATTAATTAAATAGTTATTAACTAATTTGATGCTCATTAACTATTTAATTTTAAAATTATTAATAGTCATTTTATTTACTTTTGTTTCTCTTTCCTGATAGTCTTCCACAGGGCTCTGACACTTCTACTTTTAGAAATTAAGCCCTGCGCTTGCTCTCTTCAAGTACGGATATTTTATGTGCGAGGTTTCTTTACATTTCATGCTGGGTATTATGTTGGTAGCTTAGCAACGGAAAGAAGTTACAGTCTGAAACCCTTCTCTAATGGGCAACTTTTCGAAGAAAGTTGTTCTTTCAGTTCTACGGAATTTTAAGACAAAATTTTCAGTTTAAGTACATTAAAATTGTTTACAGAACGAAAATATTCAAGCATACCTGTAACAATACCAGACCAAATGAGTACAAGTTCTTTTCAAGCAAACATTTTAAATAAACATACGAAATTTAGTATTCTGATACTAGAAGAATTTAAACAATTCAATTTTAACCATTTCAGGACGGGCGTCCAATACAGTCAAAAGTTGTTAATCCGGACTCGTCGGGACTTCGGCGATTCTGGATTATAGATCATCAGTTTAAATCTGGTAAGATGGCATGCAGAAATTATAAAATTAAAAATATGAAACCATAATTTATGAAATAAAGAACAATTATGATGTAAAGGGTATCAAAATTTACAAAAAAAAAAAAAAAAAAAAAAGCTTAATATTTATTTGTTTACTTTATTAAACATTTCTTTCAATGTAAGTTGTTTAAGTTGCTTCGTTTTTTGTGTGATAATACTTACTCTTTAATTCTATAAACAGACATAATTTCTTGTTCAGTTACAAAAGTTCCGCAGTCCTATAATTGCTGTGTCGAGAATACCAACTAATTTGTCAATCGAAATTCTTTCGTTTTCGAAGAAAGTGACGGTCACTTTCTTCGCTATCGGAAGCGAATTATAATGACGAGGAATTTGATTTAAATCATATCAAAGATGGAGTACATAGAGATGAAATACTGCATTCAGTAAGGAATTATAAGCCAAATAAAATAAAAACATCTGCCCTGAAGATAAGGATAGTGCTGACAGATCAACTTCCAGTTCATAGCGCGCAAGCTTACTTTTATAAAATTGCTCTAACAGTCTGCAAAAAATAATAAGCCGGATCCAATTCAAAGATTAAGGAACAACACAATCTGCAACATTAACTGAATTAGATCATTTTAGCTTAGCTTATACCATCCGTTATACATTAAACGTGTATGCGTAAATGAGAGTACTGATTCATTTTCTAAAGCATTAAAAAGTGATACTGCTCTGTGCTTCCAGATTTACCACACTCAGTTTTCATTTTAAATTTTGTTACTTCTTACCTGTAGATAATTTTTATTGTGTTTTATTAATTTTAAACTTTATTGATGGATTTTATCAATTAAAACTTTGGATTAATTTGAATAGCGCTTCTGAAAATTATTTTACATGATAAGCAATTTTTTAAGTATATTTTCATGTAATAAAGAAAAAAACGTTATTAAGTGCTAATTTTAACATATATAAGAGCTCAAGTAATAATCTAAAATGATACCAAAAATTATGATGCTAGAAGCGAAACTTTTTTTATAAAATTAGGCTTAGCAATGCAAAACCTCTGTCCAGTACGGTGACTGCCTTCGATTCCCTTCTGTGCCACATGAGCATCTTAAACAAAGGTGCGTCGTCGCGAAAGGGTTAAAGCTGCTGGAATATATATTTTTTTGTCGTGAGATCTCTACATAGAACAACTTGAACTATTGACATTTTGATGCTGCTTACCCTTTTTGTGCACAGCTTCATAGTTAAAAGGTTTTACGATCAAAGCTCAGCAGATTTTAAGTTCTCCCATGTTGCACCATATACACTCATGTGCAAAATTAAGAGAATTTGCACATAATGTCAAATTTTTGAAAAACTAATGGACAAATTTTTAATGAAACTTGGTATGAGTACACATTTGTAACAAAGATGTACCATTCAAAAGTCATTGCATGATTATCAGTAAAGCTTATAGTGCTGGGATGTCCAAAATGTGATATTGAACTGAGAATAAAGTCTAATGTGGGGTATGGTCAGTCCCCTGTCACACTTGACAAGTCGTGCAATGTAATGGCATATTGGAGAGGTGAGAGTGCAGGGATATCCAAAATCCACGTTGTGATATCAAACTGAAAATGAGTCTAATATGCAGTATGGTCCCCTCTGACAACCAGACACCATACTGGAAGTGAGACAATTGAGCCCTGTGGTGGTCTGTCCCACTCCTGCAGCAAGCCAATTTTCAACTTGGTTCTTGGAGGGGGAGCCAGATGATATTGCCATCCCATACTTGTCGTATAGGGTTAAAGTTGGATCTGGTTGGTCAATCCATGCTTCGAGAAACCTCACTTTCCAGGTACTTGTTGACCAGCCTGAACCATATGATGATGATCATTGTCATCCATTTGCACCTCTGAAAATTTGAACATAAGGCTGTAAGATCTCCTCTCCATACCTCATAACAGTCATGTCAAAAACATACAAGGATGTGCAGCTGTCCAAATAATGCTTGCCCAAACTATTACACTGCCGCCATTGTAATGATTGTTTTCTTGATGAGGGAAGGGATGACATCATGTTCCAGGCTCTTGCCAGTTACAGGTATGCCATGAATCAGTGTCCAGACTGAATCATCTGTAAAAAGCAAGGTGCTCCACTGAAGTCTGGTCCAATGTACACGTTGTCTGCACCATGCTAAATGTGTTCTTGTGTTCTACAGCAAGTGGTATGCAAACAGCAGGTTTACTGGCATACAGCCCTATCTCTTGAAGCTTTTGGGCAGTTGTGAATCGTGAAATTAGGATTCTTGTGGCAGCATACACATGAGAGCTGTGAAGCTATAAAAATCCTATCATACCATCTGAGACAACATTATCTTTCAGATGTTAATTTAAAATTTGAAGGATTGAGTTGTAAAACATTTAATCTTCACTCAAATTATTATACCATTATTTGTTTAATCATTAGTCAGATTATTATTAATTTAATCACTTAGTTGCAAGCAATTTTTATCTAAAAGCAGCTATAGATATTAAAAGAAAAAAATCAGTGAATAGTCGTGACTCTTTACAATTTTTACCATAATGTCAGAAAATAAGATTCCGGCTTAAAATATTAATATTTTTATGAAAGGTTTCCCTTAGTTTTCACATATTTAAACTAAAGTTTTACCATTAGGAGTATCACTTGATTTCAGAGCAAATGACCAGCTGTCAGGAGTTATAGAGGCACAATGAGGTAATCTCAATTCAATGGGCACCTTGAACTTTAAACCATGAGGGCCACACATCACTAGTGGACTTAACAAAGTTTCACCTAAATGTATAGAAATTTCATTAGTTACACAAAAATACAAACATTACCACAAGATCAATTTTAATTACTATTAAAATGTGTTGTCTGTTATAAAGCTGCATTCAGTATTCTAATGAAACTGGTGAATAATTATGTATTAAAAATTTATAATTAAAATTTGGAGGTTTACCAAAATAACGGAAACACTATGTGTGAAAAAATTCATTTTGTTTCTTTCAATTACAGAGTAACTCATAAAAGTAATTATCACATTTTTATATGAATATTTTATGTATATTCTTGAAGGTCTATATAAAATTCTAAATTTCATTTCTGATTTGTGAACTTTGTTTGACATGAAGGAAGATGTGTGCCTTGTTTGACATGAAGGAAGATGTGTGCCTAACCACGCACAGAAATGAGACTACTAATCCGTAACCTCAATTATAAAATTATTGGGGATAGCATGACATGCTATGTTCAAGAGATGACAGTATACAATATCTTTGGCAAAAAGTTTACGAGATGTAGTTGTGGGAAGGAAATTTATCTTACTTATGCAGCCAGAACATTAAAGGAAAACCAACTGCAAAAAACGTGATAATGTGGATCTACAGATCCCAGTTTCAACATAATACAGTGTGAAGGGAACAATACAAATATATTTACAGCTTCTTTTTTCAGATCCCTTTTTTTTTTTTTTTTTTTCCTCCACCAATAAATGGAAAATTCGGCAAATGGTGCCAGTAACATAAAACCTGAGATTATGCTTAATGAAAACTTGTTTTCAGATGAATTGACCTTCCCACTTCTCTTACTTCAGGCTAAATTTGTATGTGGAGAACACTAGAACCAGACTGTCTCCTAAATATAGTGGTGGTTCAGTCATGCTTTGGACAGTTATATCATGGTTTGTAGCAAGTCCAAACAGTTGGGAAAATTTCTAAAATTTAGACTGATTTAGTGATAAAAAAATTCTATTACAGGAAGCACTAAGCAGTAGAATTTAGAAACGGCAAATTACCTAACATTGTTCTTTTTTTATAAAGTTAGAGTTGGACCCACAGCCGGCTCTGAGTCCAAATATCATTTTATAAAAAAAGAATAAATATTTTTAAATACATAACCATTTTAAGCAGCCATGTCCATTCTATGGTGCAAATAATGTTTCCTGTAATGACGTGCTTCCACTCGGTGATATCGAATTGTTCAATCATAGTTTAAAGAGCATGAAGTTACTGTGCTAGAAAATTTAATGAGATCCTTTTCTTCACTCTTAGTATCCTCCAAAATAGCTGGAACAGTTTCTGTAAACAAATGGTTTAAAATATCTACAATACTAGTCCGATTTTGTATGCTTCCCATTCCAAGGAGTTTTGGATACCACAGGTGCTCTCAACCATATTAGATAAACAATTATTCATGTTTTTAAGTCTTTTCATTATTTTGGACAACGCCCTGCATTAATTTAGTTTGTCTTCAAATCATTCAAATAGACTTTAAATGAATTATTGAGACTAAAAATAAAATTAAGATAAATACATGTTTACTTTTTATAATTAATTTGATTCATCCCATTACGTTTTAAATTACGTTTTTTATCATTACAGTGCAACACAGATTCATATGTTACAGAGGTTGTTAATTTTCTTCCAGTAGGGATCAGAAACACAGGTGTAAATCCCTCCCCAGGAGTTTTACTTCTTCAATAAAAGAAAAAAGAAATTAGCATTAAATTCCTTTGAATGATCTTCCAAAGTTTGAATTTGGTAATGATAAAAATATTGCAGAATATTCCTTTAAAATCCAAAATAGTGGACACAATTCCCCACCTTCCTTAAAAAGCAAAATCTTCTTGTACTTGTTCCTTTTATTATACGTAAAATTTATTTTCTAAAATTGTTAAATTATGCATTAGTTAAATTTATAATTTACCAAAATTAAAAAATTAACTTTTTTCACATTACGTGACACATTGTTTCAGTTTTCATTATTTTGGCCTGCAAATGTTTCTAAATATGCCATCATTGCTTTATGTAGATAAAATAACAGTGACCTAATCAAGTTTGGATCAGTATGTTAAATTATACATGAGACATACAACTGTTATAAAATGTATTTTCTTGAGATATAATAAAAAAAGAAAATTATACATTGTTAACACATAATCTATTCCTAAATAAATTATAGTTACATATGAAACAGAATGTTATTTACCTTTGTCTTTATCAAGAGGTGGCAACATGTTAGTGTCATGGCAAACTTTGAAATATATTTCATGCCTTTCTCCTTCAGATATAGCACCTGGTGGGATTATTAATGTTACACCTGTCTCTCTTGAAGTGAGAGTGCCACCTTCACTGCCAAATACACCTTGAGCTGTAGCTATCACGCTGTGTGTTCCATTAGCTTCTTCTAGAACGTACCTTCTATATAAAAATATTTTAAAACATTGGTAAATCTTAAAGACAATTTAAAATACTTGAGAAGTTCATTTTAAAGCTTAATATTTAATAATTATTTTATTTGTTACATTAATAACATGTTTTTCATAATTTTTTCAGATATTACAAGAATTTCAAAAACAGTATTCTGCAAGAACAAAATGCATAAAACAATGAAAAACAAATTCCTAGAATGTGTAAAATTAGCTTGAACTAATTTTAAATTTGAATTTTCCAAACTGCATATATTATGATTGTTTTATTTTTTGATCTAAGTTGTTTACTACTCTGATTATAAAGTTCTTGAATAAATGCAATCTTACTTCTAACTACAATTCTTTTATTTATTTTTTATTTTTAAGATTCTCTATAACATGTGCCTTTATTGTTGAATAAAGAACATTTTAAAGTTTTATGATGCCAAATATCTTTCTATTGAGTGAGAGAAATGGAAATTTCTCAAAAATATGTGAATCTAGATTTTTTGTATACAATAATATGCATTTAACTTCTTTTTAAACATTATAAGTTAAAAAAGATTTTAACCATTTGTTCTAGAATGACTTGCTTAAGGTATTTTTTGATCTCAGAGTTACTGAAGACATATTAAACACATCAATTGTTAGCAACTGATGTATTTCATAAAACAATGCCATTTCAGTAGTTTGTGCAATGGACTTTCCTAATAATGAAATTGTTGAAAAAAATTATCATCTGTATAAATTATGAAACATAACTAACCATCTAAATATAAAATTTGAAAATATTTGTACTCTTAATACATCTTTAAAGAACATCAAATGAAATTTAAAGGCTGCATGTTCTATAAATAGTTCAATCCATCAATAAAAAGTACACTTTCCATTGAAGTTTTATAAGTGTGTAAATTTAAATAAAGATATTATATCAATTAAAAAAATTATTTCACCCATGTAATTGGGAATAGAAAAATTCAGATACTAATGCATCAGACAATGTTTTTTATAGTATTCTTTGAAACTAATATCATAGGAGCAGTTGGATCTAATAGAAAGAACTCATAGCACTAAAACTGAAACAGTTTGAAATTACTTCATGATTCATGTAATGGTATTCTAACTTCAGAGTGGAAAGGGAAAAAAACATACATATTTAGTGTCTTCCAAGCACAAGAAAATTAAAGGGATGGAAACAAATAAAAGAATTAACCTTATTACAAAATCTAAATGTTGTTTTGAAATTAGCTGATGGAATAGGTGAAAAAGTCAGAAAATCACTTTTCTTCTTTTTTGCTAACAATAATTGGCAAAAAGTTCTAAAAATGTTTTTATATTTAAAGGATTTGGCATTTTTTAATTCTGATGTAAGAAAAAAATTATGGCCAAAAACTAAAGATTAGTAGTCAAATTTTCCACTAGATAAAATGGAACAAATTTTGCAAACTATCAGATAAGTGAAAGAATTCCTACTAGTAATAACATACTGGCAAAGCAATGTACTCAGGAACAAACATTTTGCTATTAAAAATTTTTATATATCATCGCAGATGTAGAATATGTATGGTCACGAAACAAACATAGTGAAACTCTGTGAATGCCAGTTATATTTTGTTGCATTAATATTCTAGGTTATTTTAGACATACTGCTGCACAAAATTATCAATAAAAAATTTCTTTAAACAAGATTTTGTTGGGGCTTTCCTTTTCAAGTTAGAACTCTTGCCAAATTACATTATGATTTTTGGGCATGTGCATTTATGAACTGGTTGCCAGTACAAAGGATTAATTGCTGTGGCATAAAATGATATCTGGAAGATTAGACCCAAGGCCAAAAATAATAATTATTATTACTATTCCTCCACCTTGGTGTTTGGAAGTTAATACTCAGAGCTAAATAAGATGAAAATTACCTTTGGTTGTTATTATTCTGAACAGAATCCAGATGGTTTAGATTATCTGATTTCTTATACAATTCAAATGCACTTTCTCTGTTTTCTCTTGATAAATCCAAGCTAATGGGTGGTAGTGGTGGAGAGTTTGTAGGTGAGCAAGAAACATTCTTTTGAGATTCTCTGAACATTACATTACTATATGGTCGGTTAAGAGAATAAGAACAGACATTGTCTTGGCTATATGAATGACCCATCGTTGATCGATCCATTGGCTCTTTAGGTAGTTGGTCTCTACGATGTTCTTGCAGTTGTTGTTCCTTATAAAATGCAGGATCTTTTCTCTTAGGAGGAGGAGGTGGTTTATTTGGAGATGTTGGATATGACCTAGAATGATAAGGAGGCACACTATGGCCGCTGATGTGATTTAGGTTGGGTTTTAACAGGTTGTCAGATTCCTTGATGGGCACTTCTGCAAAGTTGTCTGCAAGGTTTGGCCAATGCTTCCCTTGCAATTGGATTGGTTTGGGTGGAGGTACTGGTCGACCATCAGAAAGTCTAATAACATGAAGAAATGAAAATATTAATATACAATAAATTGAATTTAAAGAACATGAGTATTTAATGAAACCAAACAGCATTTAAAGCTGCATATTAAACTATTTTTTTATCTGACAACATATATTATGAAATAATAACTCTTTTCCCCAGATAATTGTAAAACACCGAATTAAAAAAAAAAAAAGGAGGGATAGCAAAAAACAGAAATAAGATATACATAAGATATTTATAGAAAAAATATATACAATATTTATAGAAAGAAAAGTAAAAATTTATACCAGTATAATTTATTTTATAATAATTTGCTCGCTCCCCTCTCCCAAAAAGTCATATAAGAATTTCATTTACTAAACATGCTAGTTCTGAAAACTCGCACAAATCTGCTTTTAAAATTTTATGAAATGTCCTTTTAAAATTCTATGAAATGTATGAAAAATTTCTACACTATAAAAGAACACATTTTTGTTTTGACCATCAGAACTTGTTTAATAAAATAATACATAACTCTACATTATGATGCAAAACTGCTAAGCTCACTTAAGCATGTTCTTTTTATTTCCTTGTAAAGGAAAAATTGTAATCGCGAAACATTTTGGGTATCATATTTCAACAGAAATATTAATTTTTAATATTTTTTGTGTATGAAATCTGTGTGTACAGACAGAACAAAGGACTCGTTTTACCAAAATGGATTTTTTTATGATGTCTTTAAGTATGTATGTATCTTGCATAACTCAAAAAATGATCAGCCATAGAATGTTGAAATTTTATGTATGGGACTACTATAACATCTAGTATGTATCATCCTTCGTTCCATCTAGTATGTATCATTGTACTTATATATATATATATGTGTGTGTGTGTGCGTGTAAGATATAATAAATAAGATAGCTATGTTAAGAAATAATTGGCAACCTCAAAATTGTCTATTCTAAATTTGATGTTCTCTCCCTATATCCTTCTCCCAAATTTGAGATCTTTCCAAATTACATAACACTACTTGAAAAGGGAACTAAAAATTAACCAATCACAGCTTGCTGTACTTATGCACCTATCTAGTATAAATACTGTTTTGTGAGCAATTACGTCATTCCTTTTCCTAATTTCTGCCATGCCAACATCTCCATGCTGCTGTGCTTTCCTGTCTAAAATGCTTACTTCGTACTTTTAAAACCCATGTACATAAAAATTATCATATTTAAATATGATTGGATAAATGATCTGATGCGAATTGCCATGGAATAAAATTATGTTTCTAAGCGGCCACATCTGGTTTATGCATCCATCTCTCTAACTATGCAGTACAGTGTCTTCAAATGCCAGAGATTAAAGTACTGGGTTCCCCCAACACATTAAAATATCACATATACATACATTACTCAGCATTTGTTTTAACAATTTTTGGTCATAGTCATATACTGTCAATTACAAAAGTGTTTTAAATGATGAAAATATTCAAATTAATTTGAATAAAGAATGAAATCTAACGTTTAATGTAGTTTGTTGATTTCTGTACTAATATTTGGGGAAGTTTTATACTGGTCATGAAAAAATAAAATAATTAGAAGTTTGACTCCCATAGGTAAAAACCTGGTCAGTTTTTAGCAGGCTATTTAATTGCAAAATTGGCAATTTTTGTGTGATTTTCTACTTACCTTGAGTAGTCAGTTAAGAGTAATTTGAGGAATAAGTTTAAATGAAGTGAAACAAAAAAGGCTATAATTATTTAACAGTTTGAAATAATTTAATAAGATGTACAAGGAAGTCGCGTAATGCCCACATCAGATTTTAAAATTTGTTAAATTGGATGACAGTTACAAAATTCTAAAATGTTAAATATCCCTCCCTTAATCACTCTCTCACTTCTACTTTTTGTTCATTGTTCATTGTTTCTGAATCAGCAGAGTTTGGCAATAGATTTCCTAAAATTGCCTTTTAGATCTGACTGTCAATTCATAATTTTTTACATCCATTTTCTGTGTGTTAATTTTTTTGTTCTTTTTATATTCTATTCAGAAGTGAAGAGTTTTCTTTCGTGTCTTTAATATCTTTTTATTATTATTATTATTATTATTTCTTTCTAAATACTGTATCTTCTGACCTTACTGTATATGATCTGGGTAGATTTAATTTTGATACTGTAATATGACTTGTGATTCCATTTTTCAAATGAGAAAAATAATATGAATTTGAATTATTTTTTCTTTAGAATCAAAGAATTTTGTATGGTGTAATTAAATCAAGGTTACCTTTAACATGGACTTGAGATGATTTATGCATAGAAAACAATTCATTAATTATTCAATTAAAAGATACTTTGTTTCAGTTTAATTAGAATTTTGAAAAATATTCATGAGGTTCAAACTATCTCTAAAAACTGTGTCTTACCTTGTTTTGAATGACTTTACTGGTGGTGGAGGCGGTGGTGGTTTTACGTCGTGCCTAAGAAAGAAGAACAGTTTGAAATATATATGAAATATATGAAAACATATATGAAAAACTTAAGTAATGTTCTGTATGTACCTATGCTTGAATGAAATAAACTTACCTAGCTTTCATTTGACTGAATTTTGCCCTATCAAGTGTCATTGACTGGTAAGGTATTGAGGGATTGGAAAATATTCTGCTTGGTATTGACTCAACAGCATCATTATTGAGTGGCAATGTAGCATTTGGGTATTGAGCAGAACTATTAGGAATAGAATTCTCATTTTCATATGCTGATTTTTCTCCATATGCCTGCAGTGAAAGAAACCCGAATTATTATGAAATATTTTTATAATTACACATGAATTATCAAAATAATAATATCAATATTAAATAATTATAATTTTTCTTGCAATAACTAATTATCAACTCAGAATATTTAATATCTAGATTTTTTGGTTTCAATCTTTGATATTTTATGTTTAATGGAAAATTCATATTTGGCAATTATTAATATTGAACATTTAAAAATTGTCCCATGACTGAATTAAATTTGAGTATACTATTGATGTCACGCAACTTGTATTACTGTCATTGCTGAGTACATTAGTAATTAATATAATAGTATATGGAACACACAAAGTAAAAATTTCCATATCTTTACTTTAGCATCTTTGAATTCATATAAATAAAAAGTTTCTGAAGTTTCTACTGTATGTTATTCATAAGCACTACATAAAGTTAAAATACTACATTTTAAAATGATATTCTTACTTGTCTATCTTGAATAGAATTTATTCCATCATAGCCTTCCATGGTATTTATATAATCATGTGAAATATTCATATTTACATCTGGCATGTTTTGATCTATAAACATGTAAGAAATTCCAATTACTTCTCAGTTATAAATATTGTTTAATATAAAATAGCAAATGAAGATATACAAATGGATATTGTCACCTTTCTCATAATTATGCACTGGCTTGTTGGTACGATCTATTTGAGGAGGATGTGGATTCGTATTAATAGGACCATTTGCATATAAATCTACATGAAACAATGTTTTTTAGAGATTACTTAAGGAAATTACCCACTGTAAATAGCACATATATATAAAAAAAAATATTAGATTGCTGCAAACTACTATTGTGTTTCAGATTTACAAATATTTTCAAAATTTTGCAGATACTGAAGTTTTCAGAATTGTGACATTTTCACTCTTATTTCATTAAACTATATGAGATAATTCATTCTAGAAACTAAATTTTTTACAAACAGTTTTTTAAAACAAAAAATAATAGTAATTGTGAACAAAAATTGCGTATATATGTATTATATTGATATTTCTGTTTTTGAAATTTGGTTTATAAGTTAACTAAATAATTTATTATATTTTATAATAATAATAATGAGCAACAAAGCTTCAGATTGCAGATTTTTTTTTAATTTCACTAACTTTAATTTTAAATTTCATTAGAATTCTCCAAAAGTGAATCTTAAAACTGCACTAATTGAATAGCAAAATTTAAATAATTTACTGTTATATATGCAAGACAAAATACAGAAACTTCTCTGCATTCATTCTTTAAATCATTTCTGAATGTTAGTTATATTAGTAATTAAAAATGATAACCTTCCTTCCATATATGAAATCTGACAGCAGCAGTCATTTTGCATATCACTTTCTGAAGTTTTCAGCATAAATTTAACATAAATTTTTATTCCGTGTGCTAGTTTTCAATAGTTGAAATCCTTCCAACTATTAATGGCCATATAAAAGCAACAATATTCAAAAATAGTTGTTACTATAAGAAAATCTGAAGCTGTTATATACAGAATTTGCCAGTAATATTATATTAATTAAATGTTTATGCCACATTTTAAAATGGGCACTGAAATATGTTGGGACGATTTAGTTTTACCTTAATCATTAACGTAACAATTTACATAGAACTTACATTTAAGTTCACCACAAATTTGATTAGTAATTCGCTCACTAGGTGTCAGTGTGGCATATGGATCAATTCTTGATCGTTGAAGTGCTGTAAAAGTACTATTACTCTTAGAAGAATGGGGTATATAATCATCCTGTTCAACAGGCAGCACTAAAAAAAATTAAAAGCCATGTCACTAGAATTTAATGTAGTGATAGTGTACAACACACAGTGAAGGAACATATAAAGACACTAATTAACAAAGTGCAAGAAATAAAAGCATTTTTTTATAAAAAATAATGAATTTATAGGAAAAACTTTTAAATAACATAATTATTATTTTGCCAGAACAATGCAAGATATGTAAATTAGTTAAAACTATTTAATAAGTTTGATAACAGTAAAATTACTTCAATATATAAAATATCAAATAATATATAATCTTCATGTTAATTTTAAAATGACTTGCAAATATATTGCAGTTTTTTAAGTAATATGTATTATAAGGTAGTTCTCCCGCCTTCTTGAGGAGCCTTCGTGGTGTAGTGGTCCGCACGCTGAGCCAGTATAAAAAAAAACTAATGTCTCTACAGTGGCGCCCGAAATGAAAGGGTGCTGGATGATGATTATCCTCACCCAGGATTTGGCGATTGTGTCCCCTAAAAACCCCAGTCGCCCTTTAACCCTTTGCGGCATGGTGGGTCAATATGTGTCCCACCTAATTAATATTTATCTCAGTTAGCAATTTCCATTAGAAATTTTCTAATCTTTTAAAGGTAATCGATTTTAGTTATTATTTTTCTCAGTAGATGTCACTACTATACCAGGGCTTAAGTTTATAAGCAAAAAATATTCAAAATAGGATCACAAGAGTGATATCCAGGTATCTCGCATTTTTCAATATTTAAAAAATTTTGGTATACAATTTAGGATATGTATGATTCTTTTTAATATTGAAAGGTATTTTATTTTCAAAAATCTTAATTGGATTCAATATTTTATAACATTAATTTTGCAGTTGAAATAAGTGGGTTAAAATTTGTCCCACCACACACTTGAATTTCCACTCAATAGATGGCAGCACTCACGATTAATTTTTCTTTTCTTTTTTGCATCTACTTTTTCCGTGATCATGTGCGTTTTTCATCCGTTGTATGCTCTGATTTGCTAAAATGTCTAGAAAAAATTAAAAACTCAGGAAGCTTTGGATCTTTTTGCTGAATTGCCATCCGATTGTGACTCAAATGCTTCAGATGTCATTGAAATCCAGGAGAGAATAACTGAGGTTGAAGTTATTGCTGAAGAAGAAAGGGAAGTAGTTATAACTTGTATTGCTTTTTTAAAGACACAGAACATTATGCATGTGACACTGTAAATATGAATCGGAAGTATCTACCCAAAAATTTTAAAGAAGACAAATTTATGTCGAGAGGAGATATAGACTTTTCAGTTAGCGATGATTCAATTTATAGCATAAAATGGAAGGATAAAAGATCCATTTCTATCCTGTCTTGCTTGGAAAAGGCAACTGAAATGAAAGAAATTAATAGAAAAGAACGAGATGGAAAAACAAAAAAGTACTATGCCCAAACAGCATTATTTCATATAATAAGAATATTGGATATGTTGACTTATTTGATCAACTGAAATTACTATATGAAATAGACCGCAAAAGCAAGAAATGGTGGCACAGGATCTTTTTTTACTTTTTAGATGCGAGTATAGTAAACGTATTTATTCTATTTAAGTTTGTTCGTGAACCCGATCATGATGTAAAAACAATGAAAGATTTTCATCTCTCAGTTATAGAATGTCTAATGGCACTTGGAGGCAAGAAAGAGCTGAAAAGAAAACTGAAATCCAAAGTTCAAATAAAAACTAAATCACCGTTCGTACAACCAGAAAAGAGACTAAAAAATGTAAGTCACACGCAAAAGAGAACGAGCAGGAGAAGATGTGCATATTGCAGCACATCGAAAGAAGAACGATGAACATTTTGGATGTGTAAAACGTGAAGTGCCTCTATACTTACAAAAGAATTAAACAATATGTTTTTCAAAGTTTCATGAAAAATAACTTTTTTCAGTTTTAATCATATATAAATGTTTTTTAATCATGTGCCAATTTTAATATTTTATTTAGTATCATATGTACGAGTATTAAATTTTAATCTTAAAATAATATCCAAGAAAATATTTTCTGTTCCTAAAATTTAAAAATATTAAATATATTGTACAAAATGCATTTTAATGTGTTTATTATCAATATTTTAGAATGCATGCTTTATTTTGTTTATTCATTCCACATATGATTTTTTTCCCTGCTATACACCAATATGCTATAAGACATGTGCTAGTTGCATGGTGGGACTAACGGTATCCCACCTTCCCCCGTAAAAAATAAAAGTGCAGAATTTTTTTTAAGCTTGAAAGGCACTTAAGTAAGTCCATCTAACTTATTCTTAGGCATTTTTTTAAACATTAAAATATATTTTTAATATGCTTGTTGCAAAGGGTTAAAAAGTTGAGTGTATAAGGTACTTCTCCCAACTTTTTAGTGAGCTTTCGTGGTGTAGCAGTCTGCAGGCTGAGCCAGTAATTCAGAGGTCCGTGGCTCGATTCCTGGTGAAGGCGATTGCTCATTTTTCATTTCCTTTGCTTTAAAAAAAATACCTAATGTCTCTACAGTATAATTTCATTTAACTTCACACACATCTATGAGTGTGTGCCATCTTAAAACTGACTAACAGTTTTCAAAAATTTATAACAGGAAAACGGTTAAAGTTAAAAAAATAATTCTTGTTGCAAATTCGTATGACAGGGTATAACTTTTTCTTCCCGGAGTTTCTGGATTTAGGGCTGATGTTTTAACGTAAAGGAAGTGCTACCTGTGACTGGACAAGTAGCAAAGAGCTGAACTGCTGATTCTATACGAAAGTGTTGAAAATGACATATTTGTTGGAGGAAAAGGTTTTCCTTATACTGGAAATGGAATTAAACCAACTGGGGCAGAATATTACAGCAACAAGAAGAAGCTTTCAGTGTAAATTCCAAGTCGCTGATGGTCTGTTGCCGAATACAATAAAAACATTGTATGACAAATTCAAACAAACAAGTAGTGTTGCAGATGAGAAAGTGAGAACTGTTCGACCACACCAGTCAGCTAAGTACAGAAGTAAATGTACAGGTCAATGAGGAAACAACTGCATGCTTCCCTGGAAAATCAGTTTAAAAAACTGCAACTGCATGTCAGTTGAGCAAAATGGGAGTGCATAAGATAATGCAAAAGTACTTGGCCTTGTTCCCGTACAAAATTCAAACAAAGCAACCACTTCAGCCTTTATCCGTAGAAAAAAGGAATATGTTTGCAAATGAAATGATGGAAATGATTGATGGTAGCAATATTGATGTAAACTCTATATGGTTTTCAGATGAAGTTCATTTCCATTTTCATGGAAATGGAAATCTCGATGGAAATGAGCTTTCTTCAATACGCAAAATTGGTGAATTTAGGGAACTGAGAACCGTCATGTGTGTGTTTCCACAATCACTCTATTCTCAAAAAATGACTGTACTGGGGCAGCTGCTTCCAGAATTGGTCTCTTTTAACCATGTGACACAGTGATTTTAGAATGAAATGTTCAAATTTTGCACGATTTTGTGGCCATTGAAAATGCTTAAATCAAACCACCCGCAAGATCCTGGTTCGCACAAAATGGTGCGATGCCTCAACAAACTGCTACAGTTTTCAATTTCTTAGAGTAATTTATGTAAAAAATTCAAATCAATTATTCAAATTTTTATTATAAATAAATTTAAACTTAATAGGATTCTGAAATTTACATTTACTTTTTGTATTTGAAATAATATGGTCACTCTCAGCTGATGGTATATAGTACTATAAGGGATATTTTGTAAGGATATGGAACTTTAGAAGTTTTTGTAAATATATGGCTATTAATTACATACGTTGCAAAAAGCTTGGACACAAAAATGGTAATGAAGAATATATAGAGTTAATGGGGAGAGTTTTAAGATGAACTGTCTTTGAAAGAAAATTTACTTTCCATTTTTATAGCTTTTGAAAATGCTACCTCTTGATAATTTTCTGTTCTATATAGTTTTCAGATGTTTCAAAAATCATAAAAATAACAAGTATGTTAAAAAGATTAAAATTAACTGAAAAAAGTGTCTTAGAAATTATATGTCATAATGCTTATAAAATATAATGAAGGGAATTCAAGTTAGAAACTGGAACAAATGTTTTTTGCGAAACAAAATAACATTTCTGCTGCTATCAAATAGTTCTATCAAATATATTTTCTACTATCACATAGTCCCTATGTGATATAGATAAATGATGTTGCTCATTCTTTAATTACGCACTCATAACTTTTTATTAAATAATTTAAAATTATCTCTGGATCATTTTTCTAATCTGATAATTATTATACATCCTAAAATATATGTTATGTCAATTTTAAACTATTAATGATTTTATGATTAACACATCTGCTGTCAATATAGAAAGTTCACCAGAAGCTGATTAGCATGGAAAAATATACAACTGTTCATGCACTGGCATGTGATCACTATTAGATACTATCATATCAGGTGCCAGCACTTGATCAGCAGTAAATGTGTCAAGGGCATTAAAATTAATGCAACTATTAATAAAAATTACCTCTTGCAGGAACAGTCATCATATCATTAGCATTTTTTATAACAGATTGTATTGGTATGGCAGTTTCCTATAAGAAAACATATATATATATATTACTTGACAGAATCATTAGAAAAATAAATGATTGTCTTTTACTTTATAATGTAGAGAAAACTATATAATACAATTTTATATGAAGCAAGAAATTATCTAAAATAATAAAAGAAATGGAAGACATTAAATGAGACAGTTTTTTCATTTTAATTAGGCAGAGATACAGAAAATATATACATGCTTGGTAGTTTACTTACCCGACGAAAGATGTAGTAAGGGTAGAGCAGCTATTAAAGAAAGACATAATTTAAGTTTTTTTCAAAATTTTAAGACAGAAGAAAGAAATGATACCAAAACCCACAGTATATAGAGGAAAAGAAAGTTTTTTAATTTTTTTATTATTATTTTATTTGCATTTTATAATTCAGGGAAATAATTAACGACTTTTAGAAAGATATTTTGCATTCTTTCAACACAAAAATTATAGTCAAAATAATTTATTATTATAATATAAATGTTAATATGTTACGTTTTTAATAATTTGATAAAAACTGTTTAATTTCCCTATAATTCGATTATTTTCACAAAAGATTAATAAACACAGAACTTTCTTTAAAAAAATATAATTAAATTTAACAACAACTTCATATAATCTAATCAAAATATGAATCACATTATATTATAGTGAATTAGGAGATGCCTCATAATTATTTTACTCTCACGTAGTACTTACCTATTTTATTTCAAGACAGTACAATATAAAGTCCGAAATCCAGAATGATCTAATATCTGGACCTCCGGACCACCAGCCAAAAAATAATAATATAATTTATTATTATTTTTTGGTTTTCAGCGCCCAGGGACAACTGAAGATTTCGCGCCCCCTACTGCTTGCCAAGGATGGAAAACATTTAATTCTAAAATGTCGTAACATCAGTTTGGCGCCCCTTGGATTTTGCGCCACGGGAGGAAAATGTGCCGTAAATACGATTTTTCTCCGGATTTAAAGTAAATTCCTGTATTCACTTTTAAATACTTGTTGGCTAGGGAGTTTGCCCCATAGCAATAATAATGCACTGATCAACACTGTATTGATGTTAGCCACAATTATACTTTAGGTCCTTGAATGATTGTCAAAGGGGAAGGCCGGCGCTACGCATTTTGTCGCCCGGTGCAATCTGCTGGTTCTAAACTATGCTGCCCAATACCTGCCTAAGTTCTAAAAATATAGCCACTCCTAAACACTATTGGCCAGTGCCTCTTCTAAATTCTAAAATTTCAGCTATTCCTAATTTTTGTTGTTGGGTGTTCCTGTAAATTCTTCACGCATTTTTACCACTGCTAAACACTGACATTTGGTTGTGTACTTATTACACCAATAAGTGTTGCATTAGGTGAAAGATCATTTTGAAGGTTGAAACTTATAAAAGCCATTTGAGGTTAACAATGACCCAAGATAAGATGCGTTAAATAACTTAGCTACAACTTCAGTTGAATGACAGGAATATAATAACTTAGATTTAAGTCATATTTTAGAAGAATTTACCAAAAAATTATAAAAGTGTAATGTAATAAAAATTACTAGGTTATCTTGGAACAAAAAATAAAATATGTGAAATTTCATCTTTTTTATTTAATTGGGGGCTCCACCAAAGGAATCCAGTCAAGTCTACTATGGCTTGTGCCAGCTCCGTCTTTACCGCACTAAAAACAATAGCATTGTGTCCTTTACCAAAGAAATAATTTTTAAATTGCCTTACAAGTCTAATAATTATGGAAATATGGAAATTTTAACAGGGAAACATTTTAAATATTTTCATTTTTATTTAAAAACTCATACTATTTGTCAGATTTGCTAATATCGAACAAATGTGGAAGTATTGCATTCAAAAATACTTTCGAAACTCAAATAACCATTTTAAATAAATTGTTCTAAAAGTAACATTATATTCTAGATATACTAACATAGAAGTGAAATGGGCAAATAGTTTAGGCTGAAAGATTTAATCTAAGCCTACCAGTAAGCCATTCTTTGAATTCAGATCGATTTCAAAACAATTATTCTAAAAAAGGAACTTTTAATATGTAAAAGAGCAATTCATGCTTCTCATTCTTGATGATGAAATTAAGTTTATATACCTTTGAAGTCTATTATGAAAACAAAAATATTTGTGAACAGAACTGTTACATGATCAAAAACTACCCAAGCAACTGCAGCAAAGTACTATTACTTAATTAATGATAAAAGTCCGAATAAAAAATAATATATACTCTTCCTGGAATCATGTTGTTATTATAAAGATTAAAGATTCGAATTAGAACCTAGAAATAGCTATAAGTAATACAATCTCTTTAAAAATTTTATTTTAATAATAGCCCTTACAAAAATGAAGGTTTTAAACGTACTCTATAAAAGATGAGGTGATCATAAATATTCTATCTTAAAGTTTACTTTATTTAACTTGTTTCTTAAAATGACACCTTAAACAAATACCAGCTTTTAACAGATATTAATCACGCAGTCACTTTGAAATGCCCTGTTTAAAATATAGGATAAATTCACTCTTTTGTGAACCTCCAGTTTATGAACTCGTACTTTTTGTAAATTATCACTTTGGTCTCCAAAATTGATGTTGTCTTTATTGACATCATTCCCATTTATGAGGTTTCCAAGATTGAGAACTATTTTTTCATACAAATTCGTATAATTCAAAATCCACTGAATGTGCAGATTTCACACACAATTCTAGTTCGACAGGTAATTTGAAAATTCTGGCATAACAGGGGGGGATCAAATTTTGAGAGAGGGTAAAAGTGCTAAAGTTTTGGCGAGTAGTAGTTACTGATTAAGCTTTGCAAATATATTTTAATAAAATAACTTTGTGTTACATGATTTAAAGTTTTATATATGTAATCTTCTCTTCAAATCCTTTTTTGCTGCCTCATCGTGGCGAGGGGATATCTATGGGTCAAATGGATGAAGTACGTCGGGAGCCTAGCTCCTGGTAGGGTAACCCTAGGCGTGACGGTGACGGCCATTCTATTATGTCCAGCTAAAGCAAGCTGACGAATTTCTGAAGAAAAGTCAGACTTCTACCTCAGGTATTCCACGTTTTATAGCCCACAAAAGCTGTAACACTTCCCCCTTTATCATGAGTGCAGTTTCTTCTGTTTTTAATCATACTGCATCGCCCATCGCGCAGATTAATCAGGGGCGCATTCCTGGTTTAAGCAGAGGGTATGTAATGTAAAGTATACTACAGTCTCTACCATTTACATGAAGAAAAAAAAAATCTCTTAAAATACTTCAGTGCAGATCGACTATTAGTGCCATGAGGGTGAAGCTGGACCAAATTCTGGATCTGGCCGTATCCCATGAAGTATAGATTATTGCACTAGAAACAAAGCTTAGAAAGCTTTCTCAATTGAATTTTAAGGGTTTCCGCATCTTTCGCTGTGACAGGCCCAACACAGGAGGATGTGGCCTTGAACTGTGCTGCTATGTGCTCTGATCTTGAAAGCCAGGGTATCTTGATCTATTGGAATAAAAAGAAACTGCAAATTTTTTATATGTATCACCCTCCGAATTAAGGATGTCTGCCAGAATCATTTTTGGATCTAGGGTATGACAATATTTCAGGCATCTTTCTTGGTGGTCTCAATGCCAAACACAATTTATGAGGATGTTCAGTTACCCAGGGCCGTCCCTAGGCCATTGACTGACAGCATACTTTACAATTGCCACCCCCAAATTTAAAAAAAAAAGTTCAATAATTAATAAAATTTTTAGTTCGTACTCAGTAAGTACTTACATATGACAAACTGTATGAAAAGTACTTACATATGACAAGTACTTACAATGAATTTAAAATATTTAGGCGTGGTATCATGAGAGTCCGGCCGCCCTCTGATTTTGGCCGCCTGTCTACTTTTACACGCTAGAAACGGCCCTACAGTTATCAATAATAGAGGTGATGATCTCTGAAAGGCAGTAGATGACAGATCACTTTTGCTTTTTGAATAACGGCACTCATTTCTCTTTCAGCTAAAACACTGCTGAAACCTTGGATGTCTCATTTTTAAGTGCTGATTTATACTCGAAATGGCAATGGACGGTCCTAAGTAACATAGCAGCGATCATCTACCAATGTTAATTGAGATTAAGAGTAAGCAATTGATTCCTACCATTAAAGAAAGTTTTTGGAATTTTTGTAAAATGGACTGGCTGGGCGTTTTCAGAATTAATTGAACAGGATTTTTGTGATGTCAGTTTTAATGATGGATTGGAAATCCTTTAAAGACACTGTCAGGCTAAACAATCCATTCCAAGAGGTAATTTTAAATGGCCTAGGAGCTTGTACTTATTTGGTTCTCCTAAAATCACAGCTTTAATTGAAAAAATTAATTTGCTGTTTCAGGGCCTTAAAAATTCTAACAGTGGCGACCTTAAAATCGAATTTAACAAAACTAATGCAGAGCTTAAACGAGTCTATGCTATCAACAAAAGAAAAGCTTGTAGCGAAATGTGCAATAATGTTGACGTTAAAGCACCTTGCTCAAAGCTGTGGAAGCTTGCAAGAGCTCCAAGTAAAGAATGTTCACAAATAGAAGTGTGTAATACTATAATTGATCCAAATGGACAATTACGGCACAACGGTAAAGCTGCTGCCAATATTTTGGGTGTCTTTTACAAACAAATGAGCAAAATTACATTCAACAAAAATGACAAACTGATCAAAAAGATTGCGAGACTTATGGTTCACAAATGTCGCAGCTCGGACCTTGGGGACTCGATTCTGAGGACTGATTTCATAATGCATAAACTATGTGCTTTTGCATCTTAACCCTAATAGTAAACTTAAACTGTTAGATATCTTTAATCGGTCGTGGAGGAGTGGTCATCTAGCACTTGATTGGAAAAGAGCTGTTGTTATTCGGATTAGGAAGACAGATAAAGTTGCTAGCTAACCTGAGAGTTACTGACCTGTATTCCACGTGAAATTATAGAAAAATGTTGCTAAATAGACTTCATTACTATCTTGAGTCAAATAACCTGCTTCAAATGGAACAATGCAGTTACAGGAAAGGATAATGTAATAATGTACCATTGATCAAATATCATATTTTTCCCAGAGTGTTAGAGATGCCCATAATTTATGGCCTGAGATACTTTTGGGGAGCCATAGAAGACAGTAGACTTGAATATCACGTTTTGCCAGTTTTCTTAAATATTACAATAAGCTTCTCATTTATGATGACCAGAGTAGAACACCTTCCTATCGAAAGAACTGGGCCAATAACCAAAGACCGAGGAGAAACGGTCTCTTTTCACAAGCAGCTTTGCAAAGTTTGTTTTGCTCCCCCCTTCCTTGCCAGATTAAACGTCACTCTCTGAGGCCATACTTTAGCCCTGTCTATGACTTCAAAGGCATCCATTTTCACAGCAAATTTTTTACCCAAGTTTGCAAAAATGCTGATAACCCTGATTCATGAAACCAGATGGCCTTGGAAACTAGCAATTATATACCAAATGATGCTCTTCAAATATATAAAGACGGCAGGAAGAGTGATCATGGCCATTCGCCATTCTGGTAGTGGTATCTTCATCAGGACTCTACTTAAAAATAAAAATTCAAATTCTCGTTCTGTGCTCAGCTTTGAGCTCATCGCTATCAAAAGAGGCTGAGCTATGTGGAGAATATTGTTGAACCTAATTTTGTGGATATATGTATCCTAGCTAACAGCCGATCATTAGTTCAATATGTTAGTGACTGGACAGAGGTTATGGCCAGGGCTGGCATATCTATTCTGAACTTACTTTCTAGGCTTTTGGTTAATTCCGAGGTGCAAATCCAATCCCTCCCATGTGGGCATTAGTGGCAATGACATTGCAGACTCTCTGGTAAAGGCTGCTGCTTTAGAGATTTCTCAGTCAGATATGTTTTGCACCTATAACAAGGTGTTCTCAGAGTATAAGAAATTACTTTAGGATCTCTGGAGTGTCCTTCCAGTACATGACTGGAACTCGACAGTTTGCCATGGTGGCGCCCTACTTTTTGGGGGTCATAGAAGCCAAGAGACTTGCATAACATGTTTTGTCAGTGGACACTTAAGAAGTCTCTCCTATGAAAAATGGCAGAAGGTTTTTAAGACCTGCACCAAGTGTAATGCTGCTCAGGCATCACCTTATCATATTTTATTTTGCCTTGATTTTACCTTGGATGAGGTTTTTTTCAAAATCTCTTCTCTTTTTAGTCTTTTTAGAGGTATTTGGACTTCTGGAATTAGTCTAAATGCTGACCACTTCAGGGATTAGAAACAACAACAATATATATTTATATACTCGTATGTAATTATGCCTCTAACTTTTAGAAATTCTTTTATCACGTATATTCAAAATTCTAAAAGTTAGAAAACTAATTATAGCATCATGTCTTCTTCTGTTTAAATACATTTTTAATATATGCTCTGTTACAATTATAAAATCAAGTAATGTGCACCATTTTGTAGAATCATTAAATAAGTATATTATGTGAATTACTTCAAAACGGTCAACATTATATTTTGCTTTGGAAATCTATGAAATATAAGTAAATATTTGGTTTTGCTTTTGAAATATAACAAAAGATTCAAACTGATATATAATATATTAATTTTTTCAGTAGTTAGCTATCCTTCCAATTGAGACTGAGCATTTAAAAATAACAAGAAAACCTTGGTAAGTTTAGTTCCATCTAAAAATGAAAGCTAATCATTGAAAGCTTTTGAAAAATGGAATTTACTATGAGAACATCTACTAACCTGTCCATTTCCACCTAAACTATAACCAGGATATGGATTGAAATTTTTTATTTCAGCTAATTCTTCAGCCGCTGTTATACTAGGGTCACTAGATGATTTTACTAATCGCCTATCATTTTGTAAAGTAGAATCTTTAAATGTTGTTGTACGAGATTCCATGGAAATATCAAGATCACTTTCAGGAGAAGATGCATATGTTAATCTTGATGTCATTGGGAATAAAAAGTCGTCAGTTATAGCTTCATCAGGCTGGAATTAAAAAGAAAAACAGATAGTATGAAAAAAACCAGGCAGATTGTAAATGTAAAACAGAGAATTTTACATGGTTTGTTTTTATTTACCTTTGCTTCAGATACCCATAGAGGTTGCTTTTGTTGTCTGTCGATAGTTTCTTGTAGTTTTTTATACCATGAATCACCAGTAGTAAGAGATATTGAAGCTAAAATTATTCAGATTAAAAAAATTAATACGGAAAGTGAAAGAACAGACAATGAGCAATATGAAGATGAAAAAAAAAAATCCTGTGATGAAAAACAATAAAAAAAGATTATATAATTTTTGTAGAACATTATAAAAGTTACTTTAAAAATCTTCCAATATTTGTTACATGAGAAATGCTTGATTAGCAAGAAAAACCTAAGATATAAAGTTTGAACCAATAAATATTATAAATTTATATAAATCACAAATTATGCATCTGAAAAATTATTTGCAGAAAAAAGGGACTATATAATTACTTAATAACAATTTTTACAGAAGTAAAAATTTAATTACCTGTAAATATATGAGACCATAATTTCTCTAACTTCACAGCATGTTCATACAGCTTTCTGGAACTTTTGTAACTTGACTTCGCCCATTTTGTTCTAAGTTCTTTTATAACATGTTTATTTTCTGCATGCATGAATATTACAATTGGATAAAATTGGGCATAATTTAATCGATCTACAGCACTTGGTGTTATATCTAAAATAGCATGCTTTCCCTAAAAACAAAAATTCTCAAATTCTGATCATATTTAACATAACAAACAAGCAAACAAACAAAAAAGCAATACAGTGTTGCAGGTGAATGTTTTAGTATTTCAGAATATTTAATATATAAAATAAATGTGAAAATTATCTAACAAGCCATGTACTGGTGAATTAGAAAACTTCTAAGGCAATGATTTTGGTCAGTTACTAACTGCATTATTATATTTAACATGTTGTCATAATTAAAATTACAAATGAAAAAAGTGTATTAAGTGCAACCATAAAAAAATTATTCAGACAAAAATGATTCAGAGTATTATTAAAATTATTCAGAGTGCCAAGAAAAGTTTTTAAATCTTCAGTAAGAGAAGTCAGGAAAACAAAATCTTTACAACATTCTCTAATTTTTACCTCAAATATTTTCCAATAAAAGTTGGCAATTTCAAATTCCTATTACAATAATAAAATACACATCATTTAACTTGAAAACCATATTACAGTAATTAATTGAAAAATTGTGAAAACAAAAAGAATAAAATCAGTCTTTTATGTATTATCTTCCTTATTATTGTATTAAATTTAATTAAACTATTTAACATGCTTTCTAGAATAAAAATTTAGCAGTGTAAAAAGTAAAAGTTGAAGTAAACATGAAGATGTTTATAATCAATATATGTACTGCATTGCCTCAGAAATTTTATCTCCACATGATTTTATATTTATAAAAAAATTACACAGCACTTTAAATATTTTCAAAAATACTGAATTTTATATGATTTTATATATTTAATCAATCATGTACTATGCAACAAGTAACAACATTACTGTTAAAAATTATAGATATATAGCAATTTTCTGACCACTTTAATGGTTAAAAAAATTTTTCATGACTTATTATAAATACACAATTTTTACAAACCAGCTTCCAATACTTAAAATTTCATCAAATGTTAGGATTTTTTAACTATAAATAAATATATGTCACAAATAACCTTTTTCCAGTATACATTTTTTGTAATTTTAGAAAATCCTCATTGTTAAATATATTACAAAATATTGCTCAGATGTTAAAAGTCCTCTACAAAATAATTTTGAAATTTATACTCTAAATTATAAAAAGAATTTTGAGGAAGCAATACAATAGCATAGATGGAAATAAATATTTAAAAAAGAGTGGAAAAAAATGGCATAATAGTTTTTGATGTAAAAAATACCTTATCGATAAGATCCCTTATAGCACTTAAACGTATAATACCAGGAGATTTCAAATTGCTCTGCTCTTCTTCCAAATGATTGTCAGTTTCTATTTAAAAAAATTCCATATAAATAATCTGATGTGGTTTAAAACACAATAAATGCATTAGAAATAATCAGTAAATCAATAATAATTGTTAAAGTCTTTCATTAATGGGAACAGGATTAGAAAGAAACATTTCTGGGCAAATCTGTTAGTCTCATTGTGACTGCACACATCAGTTTCCTTCATGCCTGTATTTTAGAGAAACAAAAAATCATTATGAATTTCCAACTACCAATATTTATATTCATTCCACAAGAATGCATCTTGATAGGTAAATACCCTTTTTGGCCCCTATGACATCAGGTCAATAGAATTGGACTCGCACATTATTTTGAAGATTTTTCAGTTTGTTTATTTGTCTTTTCTTTCCTTTTGAGTTAAATCATTTTCATAACCTTATTATGAGTTGAAATATTTGTTAAATGTTATTTTATACTAATGTCCCTTTTTTATTTACATTCACAATCCAATTCCAATACTTTTATTAATATTTACATAGTGCATTTATAAATATTTCAAAAGATGTTTGCATGATTAAGCAGTTTCACAAATCTTCACACAATATCAGCACAGTTAGTGCCCAGCATGTACAGCACTTAGGGCCATAAAGCCAAGACCTAGAGTCTCAGTTTTACAGAACCCCTAAAAAGCATCCTGTTAACTTCCCGTAAGGTAGTTTTTTTCTCAACTAAAAAAAGTAAACATTGGGAGCTCCAAAGGGGAATTAATTAGACTGTGCCAGTATTAGACGCAGTGAAAAAAGACATGGGCTAATAAAACGAAATACAATGATAAGAAGTCTTTTTCATAGTTTGCCTCTGAGAAGGTTTTGTATAACAGACATTACATGTTACACTTGTCTTTATAGTTTATAAATTATTTATTTCCTTAATGGAGCATTTAATACATGTGAAGTGTTTCAGTGGCATATGCCATACGGGTTTCTTGACAATTTATGTACAACAGCAATTTAAGGATGGTTTTAACTGATCAATATGAAAGTTTTTGCCTAAACCACAAATCAAAGTGAACGTAAAAATGTTTTAGACAAGCGCTGAACATAAATTAACTATTCTGATACCAACTTAAATTAACATAAAGGCAGGTAATCTATGTCTACTTGAATTTTATTCAGTATTAAAAGATGGCAGTAATTTGACATATTGGTGGACATGACTGACTGCTGAAGTCATAATTCAAAGAAAAAAACTTCTAGAAATACTTTCATCAATGGAGTAAAATCACAGAATAAAATGTTTTAAAAGATAACATATATATAATCAGTTATTACTTCAAAATACTATCATATAAAACGGATAATAACATTCATTTGTTTAAAATATTTGATAAAATATTCACAGTAAGAAAACAAACATACGCGGTGATGCATAGCATTCAGGATAATCTTTTAATAGCCTTTCTTTTACAATATCTGTTAGAGGTCCAAAAATAACGACAGGTCTAATAAATCCAGCTGTAAATATTAAAAACAATGTTATTACTTGTTTCTGAATGCAAACAATGAAATTGTAAAAAATAAAAAAATTATAACTGAGTATAAATACTGGAAAAATAATACCTACGTTGTTTCATTACAACTCTTTCATATGGAGGAAACCTTGTCACAGAATCCGCTATATGTAAAAAAAAGCAAAATTATTTTCATTTAGATTTGCAGTATAGTAACATGCAATAACATGCAAATTGCTGCTGATTTACAGTTGCAATGCATCTGTAGGAAAACATCAGGCTTGAAAAAATGAAATAATGCTTCACAAAAAAATAGCTGAAATTTATGTAATCTTGGGTTACAAAAACCTCTTACACTGGTGGCTATCAAAATTACACCACGAGACCATCATCTATCAAATGTCAAATTTGCATGAAAGGTACTTCATATTCCAGCATGAAAGGTACTTCATGCTGGAATACGCAAAATATTAGCATTCTAGCACATGTACGCAAAAGTAGGTATGAATAATGTCATCTACACTGTGTATAAGTAGGAAGATTGAACAGTGGATTTCTCATTTGGAAATCACATTTGAACATTGGTTATCTATACAGAGGTTGTGTTATTGGTTATCTATACAGAGGTTGTGTTATTGGTTATCTATGCAGAAGTTGTGTTATGTCTCATGCAAGAAAAAATTTCTCCCAACACATATCGAGATTTGACCGTGGCAGAATCTATGGCCTACTGGGACTACAGTTTATCTTCTGTGACACTGTTAATCTTGTTGGGTTGGATTCCAAGAATGTCATACTAATATGGAATAAGTCCAGGAGGGCCATGCAGGTCCTGAATGCCATGCAGGATCTCAGCAGTATCAGTCAGTCTGATTGACAAGACAATTTGTCCACTTGGCTTTGTGAAATCATACTGCTACATCGCATACCATAAGTCAGAACATTAGCTCATGTGCAGAACAACTTTCCACAAGGACAGTATGATGATGTTTGCAGCACCACAGACTGTCAGCATGGTAGCTATTCCTGTGGCTTCCCTCGATACTGCAGCAGAATCAAATGCAGCTAGAGTGGTGCAACAAAGGATGACACTAGACCCGGAAGTTGCACCATGTTGTTTATTCAAACAAATTCTGGTTCTGCATATGACATTATGATGGATGTATACATGTGTGAAGGCACCAAGGAGAATCATTGTTGCCTGATTGTATTTGTCATTATCATACAGGCCTCGCATCTGGTGATGGCATTGGGTACACGTCTTGGAGACCTCTTTTTTGCATAGACGGAAATATAAACAACGGCCTTAACATTTCTAACATGTTAACTCCTGTGGCTGTGCCCTATCTTTGAGGCCTGCATGATGCCACCTTTCAAGAAGATAATGCACTACCACATGTTGGCCTGTGCTGTCCTTACTTTCCTCAATACAGTGTGTGTTTAACTGTTGCCTTGGGCAGCACTTTCTGGAAAACTCTCCCTTATTGAGAAATCTGGTCATAAGTTGCTGAGAGACTGACATGCAACCACTTGCCAGCCACTATGATTGGTGAGCTCTGGCATAAAGTGGCATGGAATGAAGTACCCACTTCTATCATCTCCCTGCAGTATTCCTCAATGAACAGGACAGGAGTTAAAAAATATAGATAGTTAGATATCTATCATTCATGCTCAGTTTTACTTGATGCCTAGTTGGATTACAGCTATTGTTGCTGCAAGAGATGGCAGCAACAATAGCTGTGTGCTGAATTTTGTACAATATGTATATATTCCAAATCACCTGATTATTTACATAATTGAATCTTTCTCCCAATTATATTGTATATATACAATAAATAATTCTGCTATTTGCTTTCCTTTTGTGTTTAGCAATTTTATTGGCCATCAGTATATATAAATAATGACTGACTATTATAAAATTATTATATAATACTAATAGTTTATCTATTTGCATTTCCAAAACAAAGAATTATGATATGCATATCAAATTCCAAATGACTTGGTAGCATATTTTAATGAGAAAAACTGATTCATGCTATTTTGCAAAAATTAATGAGCTGCATAAAAATGGTTTGGTGACTTTCCTATTTATTGGTTAAAACAGTGAAGCACTTCATTTGTGACTTGTGAAAGTAAAAAAAAAACTATATCTCAGTGTTGCATAAAAAGATAACACAAATATTATTATTATAAAATTACTTACTTAAAGGAAATAATAAATATTTGCTGTACATTTGATATTCAAAATTAAATAAATCTTGTACTGAAATTAAATATATGCTACTATAATTTTTTTTTTTTTTTTTTTTTTTTTTTTTTTTTTTTTTTGTCATTTTGAAAGTTTTATGTTTATGTAGAATGATACACTATGAAAAATGTTTACAAAGTAATACTATTACTTACACATTATAGTTAATGATATAACATTTTTATTAAAATTTATTCCTGCAAAAATGTTTATTGTCTAATATGACTTGAGAATTTGAGAGCTTTGAGAAATGTCAAATATGATGAAAGGACCACGATATACAGCAGTATAAAATACAATTAATAAAATGTTTCTATTATTAACACATTACAGTTAAAGATAACAGTGCCTCTAAAACATTGTTACAGATAAAGAACATATTTTTGATTAATTTACCGAGAACAACATCTTCCCAATGATCTTTACACAGTGATTTAGATCGGCGAGCTCTTCGGCGGAAAAAATTTCCACGACTTTCATTATCACTGTCCTTCTTAGAAGAAGTCTGTTGAGCATGTGCTATTTCTCGTCCCCTAGTTGTATAAGGGAAAAATCAATAATTAATTCCAATAATTTTTCTGCATTATTGTTTCAGGATATTTTATAAAAATGTAAAATAATTAAATTTATAAGTAAATTATTTGTGGCAAATAAATAATTTCATAAATTCAGACATACTATTAAGAGAAAAAATACTTATGGTTAACAGTTGTTAAAGGATAAAAAATGCACCTGGCACTATTTGGTATAACTCCTCTTTGTATTTCTTGTCCATTTCTACCTAGTCGATATACAAGCCAAGAACCAGCATTTCCATTGTATAGAGTATCAACTACGTGAAACACTTCACCTTTGCGAAAACTCAGCTCACCTTTGCCACTACTTTCATGACTAAAATGAGTTCTGTTAACAAAAAAAAAAAAAAAAAAAAAAAAAAAATATTGTAAGAGTTAAAATTTAAGTAAACACACTAAAAATAATGGATAAACTATTATTATATACCTCATATCTATTTATCAATTCTGAAAAGTAAAAAATTATTTCTAAAAAAATTATTTTTTACTATTCTAAAAAAAATTAATTGCTCAGATTTTCCATGGTAGTTAGTATTAATTACAATTAGGTTAAGCTTACGTCTGCATAAATTTGCATAACTTAAAATATATTCGATGATATAAGAACAAGTGTCAGAAATAATTATAATGAAGTTACCAGAAATATCTTTCTTTCAATAATGTGAGAAAAAAATATTGCAAAGAACTTGGGAAGGATACATAGCCTTATTTTTAGAATGAGAACTAATTTCAACACAAGTTTTCTGAGTAACATTCATTGCTGTTCCCTAATAAATAGGAGATTAAAGTGATACACATTTTACTCGAAATTATTTTCAGTGCAAAAATTAGGATAATTTTGTTAAATGTGATTTATAATAATAACGGTTTGATTTTAAAGTATGAGTACAACTTGACTTACAAGTATAATTAATCTTTTTACAGAATGAGAGGTTAAAATAAATTCTGTGAAGGGGAAAAAAATTGCTTTCAAACCCTTTTTTTAGTCCCAAATGGGTGTTAGCCCAGAAGGGCTCATAATTTCATTTTGGCATTTTGCCTTGGTTAACTATAAAACAGCATTTCACTTTTCAAATTGTTGCCACCAAATATTACAGCCCTGCTTTATATTTAATAAAATTAAATAATGAAGAATCTGAATGAATGTAGGTATGTTTCTGGCTTTGTGAAAAAACAACGGTACTTACAGACATCAAATTTTGAATAACGTAGTGCTTCACTCAAATATTTTTTATCACTCAAATTTGTTTTATTATTTATTTTATTTTTTGTAAAACTTAAACAAATTTTTGTGTAACAAACTCAGAGATTTCAAAACGTTCCATTAACATTAACAGCACATGTATTTTCAAGTACAGATACTTTATGCACAAGGTTTCTTTTCATTTCTTACTGGTATTATGTTGGTAACTTTCTTACTGGTAGTTACTGGTACTATTATGTTGGTTAGTTACAATGTCTAACGGTATTTTGTGTCGTATGACTATGAATGTCTATATCAGTTTTCAAATCCATTTTTGAAACCCCCGTGAATAAAACGCTCCTTTGGGCATAATATAAAATCTGAAAATGCTTTTAGATTTTTTTTTGTTTTTTGTTTTCGTTTATTTTACTTTATTAACTTTTTTATTTTTAAAGTGAATTTCATTTTGAGCTAAACTTTATGATTAGACTCTATATCATTCACAAACCTCTTTAAAAATTTGATAAATGCAAAGTAGTATATAGTTTAATGTCACTGCTTATTCAAAAACTATGAGCGAACATAATTAACACATCACATTGTATTGAATGATGTAATAAACAATATCACTATTAATGACTGATATGGAAAAGATTAAGACGTAGAAAACTATAATTATTCAAGCCTGATAAAAAAATAATATTTTCAGAACAGAATTTTATAAGACATTTGCAATAGAACAATAAATAAAATCTAACTATCTACAGTGAACAGGTTTTCTTTACTCGATGAAAAAATAAAAATACTGACTAAAATAATTATGGCTTTTTTTCAATATTATTACTTATTTTTAAACATTTTGGGTTTACATCTTAATCTTTTACTAAATACAGTCAAAAGTCGTTAATCCGGACTCGTCGGGACTTCGGCGATTCCGGATTATCGATTTTTCCGGATTATAGATCATCAGTTTAAATCTGGTAAAATGGCATGAAGAAATTATAAAATTAAAAATATGAAACCGTAATTTACGAAATAAAGAACAATTATGATCTAAAGGGTATCAAAATTTACAAAAAACAAAAAAAAAAAAAAAAAAAAAAAAAGCTTAATATTTATTTGTTTACTTTTTTAAACATTTCTTTCAATGTAAGTTGTTTAAGTTGCTTCGTTTTTTATGTGATAATAAACTTTCTCTTTAATTCTATAAACAGACATAATTTCTTGTTCAGTTACAAAGTTCCGCTGTTCAAGTCCTATAATTGCTGTGTCGAGAATACCGACTAATTTGTCAATCGAAATTTTTCGTTTTCAATAACCTCTGTCACTTTTTCTTCACTATCGTAAGCGAATTATAATGACGAGGAATTTGATTTAAATCATATCAAAGACGGAGTACATCGAGATGAAATACTACATTTAGTAAGGAATTATAAGCCAAATAAAATAAAAACATCTGCCCTGAAGATAAGGATAGTGCTGACAGATCAACTTCCAATTCATTGCGCGCGCGTCCCCCCCGCGACGTTAAAGATAACAAAGTTTAGATAAACAAACGTTAAAGTTTAGATAACAAAGGATTTATTTTATCCATTTTTTGCAGCAATTCCACTTTTTTGTTTAATGGACTTCGAAACATACTTTCGCTTTGTAGATCCGTTACATATTAGTAAATATAAATCGGAAATTCTATTTGACATAATCGAAAGTTCAAGCTTACTTTTATGAAATTGCTCTAACAGTCTGAGAAAAATAATAAGCCGGATCCAATTCGAAGATTAAGGAATAACGCAATCTGCAACATTAACTGAAATAGATAATTAGAGCTTAGCTTATACCGTCCGTTATACATTAAACGCGCATTCGTAAGCGTATTTTGCGCACGCGCACACGCAAATTCGCAGCCGTAAAGGTCTTACGCGCATGCGTCAACTAGACGCATGCGCAGAAAGTTTGTAGTTTTGAGGTCCGGATTATAGATTATTCCGGATTATGGGTGTCCGAATTAACGACTTTTGACTGTACTTTTTTCTATTAATGTTGCTAATTTCTTTACTATCCAATACTGATTAATTCTTTCTTGGTACACAATGTTATTTAAAGCAAAACTTTCTTCCCATGAAGCCATATGCAGAATTACATTTTGATTACATAAACAAGATAATTTGTTTCATTACTAACTAAATTACTAAATAAATAAACAAATTCATTACTAATCAAAAAAATAAATAAATAAAGATCAAAGCCTTATTAGTTTATTGAGAGATTTATAAAATAACTTTGTTGCAGAGCGTTTATGCACTTTCTATAAATATTTTAAAACATAATATATTAAAATAACAATTTATCAGTCAATAGCTGATATTAATAAGCATTTCACTCGAATTCATAACAGATAAAAATGTTATTTCTTTATTTCGAAGAAGATTCGTTTTTCACCTCATCATGTCATAGGCATATTTAAATCTGAATACATAGTGAGCCCATATCAGTTTTCAACTAACTACTATTTTGTCATCTGTTTAGGAGGATCAAGTACTTTACAGCTTTCTATTGCTCCTCATTTAATAAGCAGTTATCTGTGAATTAATATTAAGCCTAAAAGTTGAGTAGTTTTTAATTAAATGCTTATCCCCCCTCCCACAGCAGGGGATGTCAGATAAGTCATTTAGAAGAGCTGAGCAGTTTCTTTGTGAAGTTAAATTTCGTTAAGTTTAGGCTCCTCTCAAAATCATTAATTTCATTCTATTACTTCTTTGTACGAAGTAAAATAGGAAGTATTGTAATAGCGAAAAGTTTCAGGCAGCATATTTCAACGAAAATATCCATTTTGACCGCTATCGAATGCAATTTAACGATGTTTTTGCGTGATATCTGTACGTAAGGACAGAATAAAAGACTCTTTTCCTCCAAAAAATTATAAAACTGCTTTAAAATTAATTCTGAAGAGAATTTTTCGTGGCGTCTGTACGAACGTATGTAAGTACGTACGTACGTATCTCGCATAACTCAAAAAACAAGTAGCCTCAGAACGTTGAAATTTTGTATATAGGACTGCCTATAACATGTAGATGTGCACCTCGTATTTTGGCTGCAATCGGCCGCACCAAACGTATATAAAATATTTTATATATATATCCACTCTATTACCCGGCTCAGTGATCTCAGTTTCTTTACTCTTATATGTTTGTAAATTGTACATTTTTTTTTTCTTTAAAAATGATTGAATTATATTGTTTTTATCTTCCGGTTAAGGATTTTATGCCTTTAGTAAATCTGTGTGCAATATTTTTAGAATTATCAGCAATTTTAAAGTTGTTTAATTGCCGCTAAGCCTGTTTTAATGGTGGCCATTGATGTTTACATTTGAAACAGGAGACTAGTGGATTTGTTGCCAATATAGAGAAACTTAGCTTCGCAACAACAAAGATAACGCATTCATTTATTATTGCCAATTAAATCATGCTTAATTCTTTCTGGAATTTTTTCGAGGAAATAAGCGTTTGAGATTTAATTCGTAATTTTTAATAAAGATATTTTGAGTTCTTATGTATTTTTGCCTTCTCGCGAAGTAAGAACTGAATTAATTAAATGAGAAATACTCAATCGTCTGTGAAAAACTGTTTCTTTTTGTTTTATTTGCTTAATTTCTTTTATACATAGTTTCTAGCTTTATTATAGTATTTGAATAGAACATATGGCAACGATTAGATAATTCTTTAAATGATATACATTTTGTGCATTCTGAGTTATAATATGAATGTAATATAATACTGTTAAGTAAACCTAGCGCCGGAGTGTCACTATGGTAAACAAAGTGAATTTTAAAGAATGCATTTATTCTATTGTGGTTTATGCGCTGTCGGCGAAGTAGGTTTAATTCAATCTAATAAGTTTAAATAAAATGCAAGAAAAAATGCGTATAATTTAAATTCCGTACAAGGAAGTCATGTGGTGTACACATCAATTTTATAATTTTTACAATTGGCATTTTTTCACATCTTATGTTAATCAATAGGATGTTTTAGATTACTGAAACTAAAAGGGAAAAAATCTTTAGCCCTTTATAAAGGTTATCGTTATCGAATTCGGAATAGAAATAAGAAAAAATGTAGTTTATTGGATTGCATAAATGAAAGAGTTAA